TCTCTTCCGTAAAGGGAAGTTATTTTTTTTCGGCCTTCTTGCGTAATACCTGCACTAGATATAGCTTGAAACCATAATAAATATAATAATAAACAAATTACACTTTATATTTTTTATTATTATTACACTTCCTCGTCAAAACAGTAGAATCGTGGATATTGATTTTGCTGATAGAGCACGGTATTTAACATCTTCCTTTGAAGATTAAAAAGATGTTTTAATGATTCATATAGTATGAAAGTGTGTATAATGATGCTGATGCTACAGAAGGCAATGGTTGAGATTGGTTTAGGAAATGAAAATGAACCAGGTCGAACCACGAACATGCTTTAAAAACAGAAGATTCGATGTATTGTCAAGTGTTCAAGAGAGTAGAATTTTGCTAAATGTCCATTGAAAACCAAAAACATAAAGAGATTTTAGAGATTAGTCTTATTCCAATGATGAGAAACTATTTTTTCATGTCAAGGTCTGTTCTAGCCGCGCACGCCAAATTTATGCATATGACTCGATGTGGCACTTCCGGGTTAGGATGAGCTTTTTTTCTGGTTTCATCATTTAAGATTTTATATATATATATATATATATATATATATATATATATAGTTTTGAAAGTTATTATTAAATAAAATATTTTTATAAAATTTCATTAAAAAATAAATATTTTATCACATTATTTCATTTTAAACAAATAATATAATTTTAAAATATAAATAAATATTGAAATATGTAAAATTTGATATACATATCACAATATATCATGATTCAATGATTAAATGATTTAATTTTATATAAAATTATCAAGTGGTCTAAATATTTAAATTTAATATTTATTTTAACTAATCTAACTCATTCATTATTTTATATATATATATATATATATATATATATATTACTTGTGATTTATTTTTAAAATAAGAATTATTTAAACTTTTCAAATTTTATTAAAAGAGAATAAAAATATGTTTAAAAGAAATTATAAATAATTTTTAAAATAAATTTTATAATGAAATTTATGATATAAACATTAATTAAAAAAATTATCACACGATTTAATAAAATTTATTATTAATTTATTTTCGTAATTGATAAAATTCTTATATATTTTAACTTTAAAATAATATATATATAAAAATAAATAATTTTAAAAATTTAAATTTATATTATATATAATTAAATTTATTCTAAAATAATAATTATTAACGGTACATTAGGCGAATACTATTCTAATTATATCAGAATATGTTGACTGAAATAACAAATGTCATATCACAGTGTTGGGTTGTGACTGGCACCAAAGTTGAGTGACAGAGACCCGTGTCACTCAGCTGAACCACTCCAAGAAGGTGGATACAAAAAGGAGAAATACAAAATTATAACTAATAAAAAAGAGTGATCAAACAAAGATAAAATAAAAAATAAACATAAACCTAAGTAAGTATAAAAATATAAAACTTTTAAAATAATTTCACTGTCAATTAACATAATAGTTTAGAATTATTAGATAATAGATAAATTACTTTTGTAACTTATGTTTAAGAGCATGTAACAGTAATACCAATTTATATATAATATTTTATTTTTAATATATATTCTTTGATATTCATTAAAAAAATTTAATAGATAAATAATATTACAGTTTAAGCTTTAATTTCATCGTATCGAATTTGAAATGTTAGCTTAGAATTTAAATAGTCTAATTTTATTTAACAGTTGTCATTTATCAAAATGTATTAAATGCATTTATTTTAATTATATTGATTTTGAATCTCATATATTTAGGAAGAAAATTTTGGAAAAAAATAAAAAGAAAACATATGTCTTAATTTTAAATTTAAAAATTGTATATTATTTATAATACATAATTAATATTTTAAATTTATATTAATTTTAAATATATTTATTAAAAATGCAAAATTTATTTTTTTTCCTCCTCTCCGAATCTCTCTTCCCAATAAAGCGTGGATGAAAAAGAGATAGACAGATATCCAACAATGGTCAAATTGCGACAACTATAGTAGTCTATATAGGAGGCAATTTCAACGACATAAACACAGAGATATTTGACGCATAAACATTTTGTGATCGTCCCATTGGACACCACCTTAAATCAGAAACAGCAACCATCATCATAAGCAGTGTTTCTGATGAGTGACTAATTATCTGCAAACCAAAGCTATATTCCCAATTTTTAAAACAACATGGAACCAATTATCTACTGTTGTTTCGATTAAATTTTATACACAGATTTTCACTTAATACCATGTGTGTTAAAAAAGAATTATAAAACAAAATAAAACCTTGCTATATGTTCTTTTAAATATATAAATTTATATAAAAAATTATCATGACTAAAATATGAAAAATAATCAAACTATATGCAATTTTTAATCTATTAATTGGATAAATTAGAAAACTAATTGAGTACTAATTAAAGATATTTTATGAGTTTTAGAAAATCTCCCATGCAATCTATTAAGCCGCCCTGCTTGAAAGTTTTGAAAAGGCAGTTTTGAATGTTCGCAAAATGATAAGCAGATAGAGTTATCGTTGATCTGCTTATTCATTTCTACAGTCTCAGCAAGTTGCTCCATCTTATAATGGTAACAACTCTTCAGATAACTAAGTGCCCATTAAAGAAATATAAGACGTAAGCCAATTGAATAGAGTCGTGCCTTTGTCATTTCATGTATATACTAAAAGCCAATTTGGACACAAAAATTAACCTACCAATTTTTAGGTGAAAAGGACTGGCGCATGACCCGATTAAAGTTTCTGTAAAGTATTTATTTTATTGTGTATTTCTCATTTTTATTATAAAAGATGGCATGAAAAAGGTGTTTAGTTTTCACTTTTCAGGATGACACTGACTTCGTGCTCCATAATCACCATAAGGCACTTTCAAAGCTTTGACTTTAGTTCGTAATTAGCTGAAGATAAAGAAACAGAAAAATGAAAAGGAAGGATACAAAAGATATTGAGTATTAGGAAAAAAGAAAAACGAGATCACAAAATTAAAACACGCGTAAATGTTATTAATAAAAATATTTTTGAAGTCCTTAATTCTTTTTCTTTGATTTTCTTTTATGAAGTAGTTGAAGCCATTGATTGATTATCAAAATTGGCTTATTAATACCATAATTGTCCCATTTGAAACCTTAAATTGGAGGATCTATATATTTTAGAAGGTATACATAAGCGAGCTGTATTTTTTAGAGTATTTTAATAAACTTAAGTTTTAACATATCTAAAATTATAATTTATTAACGTAATAATCCTTTTTGAAAAAAGCATCAGTAATATATGTGTAAGGGACGAGAATAATCTTAATTATATTAGGCTTAAATTAGATTAGGTCTATGTACCTTATAAGTTAAGACTTTTTAAAATTCTATTAAGTTTTAAGAGTTTAAATTACTCAAGAAAAAATTTAATTTAATAAGTCAACCTATTTAAATTAATATAATAATAATAATAATAATTTTATATTTATAATATTGTAAGATTATATGTTTTTTAATTTATTCAAAGGGTTCTAATTCTTACAAAATAAGATTTTAAACAAATTTTAAGATCATGTTAATCTCTTTAAAGCAGGCAGACCTTATAATTAAAAAGGTTTAAATAAGTCTAGTTTCAGTTTAAGTTTTAAAAATAGACCATGTTTATTTAAGAATAAACTTAGCATATATTATCCTTGAACCTGAAATTCGAGAATATATATTGTCAATTTTTTTTTATATTTATGGTCACTCTTTATTTAATTTTTTATTTAAATATTAGTAATATTAATGTTTGCTACTGTCCTATTCGAATTAAGTAATATAAAAATTATTTTAAAAAACATTATAGAGTCTCAATAAAAACAATCATAAAATTTGTTGCAGCCAACTTAGTTAACTGCGGTCCAGCTCATTGTGCTATGGATGGAATATCTAACTCAGTCATAGAGTGGTCTGCTCCGTCAACATTCATGGCTAAATGGGGGCACAAGCCGCACCCCTACGATTGCTCAAGCCTCCACCATTTGCATTCGAAGCTTTCCCTTAACATTTTTCTTACCTAACTTGAAAGTTTCTTCTGTTGCAGCTTCCCTGAATTTTTTTTATTATAATTAAATACCTGCATAAGTCCCCTACTGATACGTTACTCAAACTATATTTCCATCATCAGAGGCCATTTATTGAAATATATTGAACTCAAGAAGTCAAATTATACATAAATAACCCTAACTCTTATAAAAGTATATGTTTATAATTTATAAATAATCACGACTACTCTCTATTCCAAAGCTTAGCTAGTTCTACTTAGAATACTAGCTCTTGATCTATTATATGTTGATTTTTTTTTCTGCAGTTAAAACCTTATAAAAATACGTTGTGTACTGTTACTTATAAATCTTTGTATCAACTTAAGTTTACAATGCTTTCAAGAATTATAATTCTCTTTAGTGTAAATGAATTAGATTTTCAATGAAATTTTGAACATAATCCAACAACTGCTGTGGGTGATAATTTTAACAATTTATTATATTAAAATATTTATATTTTCATATTAATATATATACTTATGAAAATAATAATTATATGCACTTTTGAAAGTTTGGGAACGTCTGTTTCAAATACGTAATTATCACTGACAGCTTGCCTATTAGTGTACCCCTAAAACGTGATACTCTATCAAATTCATGATGATTGTGATGTTTATGTCATATATGTATCCAACTGTATCACGCTTCTTCCAAATTTCCTTCCCAACACATTACCTTCTCTTTTTTTTATGAAGTGGTAACACTGTCTCTTTAATTGTCACTTTCTACGTGTAAGTCCTAACCAATACATTGAGTCCTCCTCCTAATTTCTATATATACATGCCCAAATCTTCATTTTCTCTCATACCTAGCTATTAGAAGTTCTCCCTTGTTACCAAACTCACTAATTCAAAACCTCTTCCTCTCTTCCAATCATTCGCATTTCCATCTAGCAAGATTAGCCCCAGTAATGGGTTGCTTACATTTTCTTAAAAAGGTTAGTTCCTGTTATTTTTCAATTTCTTTCAAGCTTAATTTCTTTGTTTAATTCTTTTTAATGTGTATCAAAGTTAAAAAATAAAAAAAAGTACATTTTTATTAAACTTTGTAATATTTAATATTACTGATGTATTGAATTATGTCATATCTTATTATTTTTAATAAAAATTTATTATTCATAAGTTTTTATTGGTTATCCTTAAATATATATTTTTAAAAAAAAATTATAGATAACTAAGTTTTACTGGGAGGGATCCTCATTGATCTGCATCAAAGCTCTTTGACCCTTCAAGTTGAGTTGATCCCTACTGGTTTTCAAGCTCTTATTTGTCTCCCAATCATTTTAATGTACTGCATGTGATAATTTCATGCACACATGTTTTTGAATGGAAAGCTATCTTTTATGCGTGATACAATTATGATACTTGCACGAACAATGTGTCATGCAGGTGAAATTAATTGTTAATCGAACAAAAGAGGTGGAACTTAAATATTAAAATATCAACTTCTTCAACTTAGAGAGACAATATTTATTGTCAATCTATTATTTATTTTATTTTCTGAAAATTTCGTTGGCATTTAAACCTTGCTGCTGCACATGCCATGTCCAAGCTTTTTCAATATATTTTCACCTGCAATTTTGCAACTACGAATGAATCAAATCTTTTCACATCATATGCTAAATACTACTGAAATTTTTATGCAATATAAAGTTAATTAATTAATTCAATAAATATTTTAAATGTAATTATTAATAAATTAATTTTATAAAATTTATATAAAAAATAAATAATTATTTCATTATTTTATATTATTTTAATATTTTTTAAAATATAAATAAATATCAAATTTTAATTATTATATTTACAAATATTTAAATTATATAAAATTTTATATATTTGATCATAAAAATAATATGACAATTTAATAATTAAAATAATTAATTTTATATTTTAAAAAATTATTAAATTGTGTAAGTGTCTAAATTTAATATACAAATTTATTTAATGGTAAACTGGTTTAAATTTCTTGTTTTGTTACGAATTTTATTTACTTCTCAACTTTATTGAACATGTCCCGATGTACTTCTTGAAAGAAATATTCAATAAAAAATAAAAAAAATATGTCCTAATATAATATACTTATTTTTGTTATTTTAAAAAAGTTCTCTTACACTAAAAATTATTATTTATTAATAATTTATTATTAGATTAATTTTTATTAGTATAAATTTTATTTAATAAAAGTTAATCTGGTAATGTAAATATGATGATATACTCTATTAATAAATAAATTTACAAAAATAAAATATTATTACTTCTGGTCTTTTTTTTATAAAAAACAAAAAACTAAATTATTATAACTAAAAAAAGTAATTAAGTAAGTTATACTTTTTATAAATACAAATTTTATTTTAAAAATATTTATAATATTAAATGGTGTAATTAGTAATTTGTATATTTAATAATATTAATAAAAAAATATAAAAAAATTTAATAATTAATGTATCTTGAACCTATTATTTATTTTTTGTAATAAAAACAAAAAAAATATTCTATTTTATTTATTATAAAAAAGACTGAACGTGGTAATATATTAAATATTAATATATTATTTTATATACAATTAGTAAGAATGAGTTCATTATCACTTTTTAAGTGTTTATCGTCACTTTTAGTTGAGTGATTCTTGTTTAAAATGTTAATTTTTTTATCCTATAACTATATTAATAAGAACATTTTATATAAAAATATTCTTTAAATATAAGTAATAATAAACATATAAAAAAATACAATACACACTTTTAGCATAAACCTTTAAAGTATATATTAATAATTTATTTTCTTATAAAAAATTACTATACTAATAAAAATAATATTGATGATTGATCATTTTTATTTGTTAATAAAAACTTAGCTAGAATTGAGATCAAACCGTAATTAACAATTATTATAATATTTTATTTATTTTTATACTAAATATTTCAGGACATATCAGAGGAAAAGGTGAACAAGGTACTCCAGATTTGCACACTGGATGGAGCTATTGATAGCCATGGTCATCCTGCTGTTCGAGAGAGAACTGGAAATTGGGTTGCTGGAATTTTGATTCTAGGTAGCACTCAACCCTTCAACTACATAAATAAAAAAGGGGGAATATAGGAATATATTCCATACTATATCTACAATTTATTATTATACCAAAACTTGTCATTTAATGATCATATTAATTAATTCATTTGTTTGATTTCGTCTTTGTTGTGTTAGTGAACCAAGGACTTGCGACTTTGGCATTCTTTGGTGTGGGAGTGAATCTTGTACTATTTTTGACTAGAGTGATGGGTCAAGACAATGCTGATGCAGCCAACAATGTGAGCAAATGGACAGGGACAGTTTACCTCTTCTCTCTTCTTGGAGCCTTCCTTAGTGATTCTTACTGGGGAAGGTACATGACCTGTGCAATCTTCCAGGTCATCTTTGTTGTTGTAAGTTTTTATTCGTTCCACATTCATAAACAAGCTTCTATAATGATCTAACTTGTGAGAACATGTGTTTCTTTAAATAATTAACACGTATTGTTCATATTGGTGTGACCTAGTTTATTAGAAAAAATATATATTGATGCAGCAGGACTTAAATCTTCTATTTTAAATTTCATCTTTCATCTTTCATGTCCTGTTTAATATTTCATCTCTTTTTCCGTATCCTCTTATCAAATCTTAACGAATTTTTAACTAAGTAATAATATTAAAAGGAATTAATATATAAATTTGATTAAGCACGATTTATTCGATAAGTAAGATTAAAAAACTACAAACCTTTTACAAATTAAAGCTGGCTTAGGTCCTCGACTTTTAATAGTGCATATACTACTAAGTATGTTTAGATATTTCACTTGAGAACTTCTATCATGATTGGGATAACAATCCTAAGAGATAAATTTTTCTCTGAACCATGATTTCATGAAACTATTTCAATTGACATGTGGTAAGATTATGACTGTCTATGGAAAAGAAAACTGAAAATAGGAACGATCTTATTGTCTCTATTGTTATATTTTATTATAGTTATTATTCATCGGAGGTAAATACTAGTATATTTATTTTACAATTAGACACTACTGTTTGGTTGTTTTATGTGTTATTTATTGAACTCACTTTTGTTTATATGGAATTTATATTTATTATACTTATTTAAATTATTAAGAAATAAAAAGGATAACTTCAATTTTAAATCATTTAAATAATAATTAACAATACCTATTATCCTCAATATAAATTTAAATATATATAGACTCTGTTTGACCCATTAATCTAATCAATCTGATGATGGTTGGGGTCTAATTCTTTTTAAAATAAAGTTGAGTTGTAGTAGCATCTTTCCGATTTTAAGTTAGGCTGGGTTGAGGACAATCTTTGGGTTACACGATTCAACTTGAATTTACAAATAATTTTTTTACTTTAATAAGTTAAGGGTAAGACTTGAATTGATTATTTCATTTCTTATTTATAGATTAGGTTTTTCACTTATTCATTGGTAAAAGTTAATTAGAATGTTGAATAGATTATAAATGTGTACAATTTTAAATTAAGATATTTTTAAGTCACTCGAATATTTTCTTACTTCATACTTAGGACAAATCCGATTATGAGTTTTAATTAATTAACCTTATATACTATATAATTTATTCACGTGTATAGCTAAATCTGAAAAAAAAAAAGTTCTAATCAAAATTTAGAATATCGAAATACAAATATAATCAGCTTCACAAATAATGGAGTGAGGGAGTTATGATACTTTCAAATATATATATATATATATATATATATATATATATATATATATATAATCTTTTTATATTAGTGTAAGTTTAAAAAATTTTACACTGAATCTTAATCTTTTATTTACATCTAAAGATACTTTGATTCTCCTGCTGACTTTTTGTCCAATTAGTATCTGCAAACGTATCAATCTTTTGAATGGAATATTGCACCATAATTAAGAAGGAAGAAAATTAGGCACCTAAAAAGAAGACAAAAGAGCAAAAGACACGAGAGAATCTGCAGTCCTGATATTAATATGGCCACAGCTACGTGTTTCATCCTTCCCTCGCTTGTAGGAAAGTTCATTCCATTTTGTGAGAATTTTATATAACAAAACCATACAACATTTGTATATTTTTTTTATTTAGACTTTATTGAACCTTGATACATATTTATACAAAAAAAAAGCAAATTTTTTTATCAAGTAAAATTTTACAAGGAAATGTTCATCTATGTCACTTCTTATATATCAGAATTCTATATCTCATAGACTAGCAAACTTAGCGTAAACCAATTTAATTTACTCTTTATTATGTTTTATTAAATAAATTCATAATATAAAGATAATTTTCAATTTAAATCATTTTGATATTAGTATTCACTATTAATAGTTACAATTTTTGGTGTTAATAAAAATTGATGTTCTACATGACAGGGTTTGGTGTCATTATCACTATCATCTTACATATTCTTGTTGGAGCCTAGAGGTTGTGGTGATAAAGAATTACCATGTGGATCACATACATCATACCAAACAACTTTATTCTATGTTTCCATATATTTAATCGCGCTAGGAAATGGAGGATATCAACCTAACATAGCTACATTTGGTGCTGATCAATTTGATGAAGGAGATCCTAAAGAGCAACATTCAAAAATAGTATTTTTTAGCTATTTTTATTTGGCTTTGAACCTTGGGTCACTTTTCTCAAACACCATATTGAATTATTTTGAGGATGAGGGACTATGGACTTTGGGATTCTGGGCATCAGCTGGTTCTGCTACAATGGCATTAGTTTTGTTTCTTTGTGGGACACGAAGATACAGATACTTTAAGCCTAGTGGAAACCCTATTCCTAGATTTTGCCAAGTTTTTGTTGCTGCAATTAGAAAATGGAACATCAAGGTATCACCAAGTGATGAAAAATTCTACGAGGTTGAAGAATGCTCAACCAATGATGGGAGAAGAATGCTCCACACTGAAGGATTTAGGTATGCATATCATCATTTCCTCCCCCTCCCACCCCAATTCAGTTTTCTAATTATTCCCACTTATTTTTTTTCTTCTCAAGTAAGAGTATGTTAATAAGTTGAATGAAACTCTGATATTACTGTCTTATTATTTTTTAATAAAATATACCATTCATCTCAATAATTATCAATGACAACAATTATTACGATGAAATGTTGATTGAAAAATAATACCAAGTATACTGTATATAAATCCTGTAGTGAGAAGTTATACCTTGTTAACTTACACTTTCTAATAAAAAATAATTGAGTGTATTATGCTAGTATAGTCTATTTTGTTTTTTAGAGTGTGTTAGTAATTAAGTCACTAATGGAACTTATATTGACTTATTAGGTTCCTGGATAAAGCAGCATTTATCACATCAAAAGACTTCAACACGATGGAAGGGAATAAATGTAATCCATGGTGTTTAGCTACTGTAACACAAGTAGAAGAAGTGAAATGTATATTAAGACTACTACCCATTTGGCTATGCACCATATTATACTCGGTTGTTTTTGCTCAAATGGCATCACTCTTTGTGGAGCAAGGTGATGCTATGGACACTAGAATTTCCACTTTCCACATTCCTCCAGCAAGCATGTCTAGCTTTGACATTCTTAGTGTAGCAGTTTTCATCTTCATTTATAGGAGAGTTCTTGACCCTCTTGTAGCCAGAACAATGAAATCCAAAGGACTCACTGAGCTTCAGAGGATGGGAATTGGTTTAGTCCTAGCAATTGTGGCCATGGTTTCAGCAGGGCTAGTAGAGCAATTCAGGTTGAAGAATGCAATAGAAGATTGCAACAATTGTGAAGGGTCTAGTTCACTATCCATATTTTGGCAAGTACCACAATATGTACTTGTAGGAGCATCAGAAGTTTTCATGTATGTGGGTCAATTGGAGTTCTTCAATGGGCAAGCACCTGATGGATTAAAGAGCTTTGGTAGTGCACTTTGCATGACTTCAATATCACTAGGAAACTATGTGAGTAGCTTGCTTGTTGCAATTGTGATGAAGATCTCTGCTAGAGATGACATGCCAGGGTGGATTCCAGGAAACTTGAATAAGGGACATTTGGATAGGTTTTACTTTCTCTTAGCAGCACTCACAACAGCTGACCTTATAATTTATTTGGCAATGGCTAAGTGGTATAAATATGTCAAATTTCAAGGAAACAATGAAGATGTCAACAAAGAAAACCTGAACTCAAAGTGTAGACATGACTTGGTATAATGTACTCTTTGCTATGACATTGGAGAAAGTCATTTTGCATTTCGCCTAATGGAGCAAAGGTACTACAAATTGTATTCAGTGATGCATTTTAAATAAAATATACATATTTGGGGTTGGTGCATATGTTGGACTTTAATGCATAACTCAAGGTTAACTATCTTCCATTAATATACCTTAATAATACATGCTGTTTATATCATTAACTAAACCCCACAAAAAAAAAATTGATAAATAAAAACAAAAAAATAATTTTGTTTTATGTAATGTATTAGCAAATATCTAGGGTACAATTAGGCTCTCTTTTCTTTTGAGGGCTATGTTCCTCTGTGGTTGAGCATGTGTTTTGGCGACAAACTATAAAGATATTTCGTCTCTTGATATATAAAATTTATATACGTGAGTCATATGCATGCGACATAAGTCAGTCTTGACACATATCTAACTCCTCAAAATAAAGCAGAGGTAGAAAAATGTTCCGGCAAGACGAGTTACTACTTATTTATTTCATAGTTGAAAAATCAATTTTTTCACTTTTTAATATAACATACACACTAATAAAAATATGTGATTCAGATTAATTTCATCAAATCAATTTTACTCAACTTTAAACTAAACCTACAACTTTAGAGCACTCAACTCTGTTGGTGCATGGTCTGCAATTAAGGTAAAGTGTAAATATGGGCCATAAGAATATTTTGGGCCTGGGTTCTTAGTCTTGCACTTTATGCATTGATACTGTCGATTAAAAACAAATTGATTCTGAGATTTGTATAAACAAAATCATATTATTAGTTAACAAAAAAGAAAACAATCATATATTATAGCTGACAAAAAAATCATATTATAAAATAAATAAAATCTGAATCAAATAACTAATAAAGCCATCAGTAACAATTCTTATCTTTTATTTCCTTTTATTTTTTTTTTGGTGGTGATCTTTATATCCTATTTTAGTTGCCTCCTCATGTACGTACTTGATTTCCTCAAAACGATTGTGACAATATAAAATCTCTAATAGTCATAGGAATTTTGACATTAGGTTAGCAATATATTAACCTGGACATCTTACGATCTTTTGTTCAGCTCGATCTCTTTCTTGCTAAAATGCCAATGTGCAAGCTGTGAAACTAATTTAGTCTAGTTATTATAGGATTGATTCAATCTTAGGTATTAAATGATCTGTGGTTTTTGGCCTTTATTAATCCATTCATAAGATGGTTGGTTTACAAAAAATATATATAATCGTGATTCAAATGAATTGATTGATCAAAGCGAATTATTTTATTTTTCAATTCAGCCGATAGGTTAGAAGGACAAACATAGAAAGGACAAAACATTAACTCAAAAAAATGAGAAATTTATAACACTAAATTTTATTATTAGCATTACCCATTTCATAGCAAATTGGGTGCCTCGATGTATAGGATTATTTAGGTCTCAATATTATTACACAAACATGGTTTAGTTAGGAACTTCACTATGCTCCACAGCAATTTGTACAACGTTTTTGTCCTCTAGTATCGACACAAAGGCAGCAAACACAGCTTCCATCACAATCGACTATCCCTGTGATTAAAGTATAAAAAGAAAAGGAAAAATAATGAAATCAGTATCATCGATTAAAAGAATTTAACTCAAATTACTCATAAATATTTTTATATAATTTATTATCATTGAGGAAAATCAGCTCAAAATGGTAAGCATAGAATAGCATTCTAAACTTTGAAATGGGAAAATTTCTTCATCTCCATCGATAGTAGCATTAGCAAAAGAAGGTTTGTTGATGTTGGAATGAAGTGAAAGCCTACTAGTAGCTTTGGCCACTTGGGATGTGACGATTAAGATGAAGAACAGGTTCAACACAATTGTTTTGAGGGAAGGCACTGCCATTTTCAATTTGATGCAAACTTCTAAGAAATTATAAAGAATATATACATGGATATTGGTGGTGCTGGTGAGTTTCATTCCAATCCTTCCTCTCTACATATGCTTCTCTTTACCCTTGGTTATTACTAATCGTATTAACGCTTTTGCAATCAATCGTATTAATGCTTCTCTATATATGTTTTTAAATACAGAAACTGACATAAAAATAGAAACGACGGTACAAAGATAAAAAGGTTCATGGATAATCTTCTATATCGATCTTTAAAAAAAAAAGGAACAACGGGTAAAACTGAAGCCTAAATTCATTCCAATCAACCCCTGTTATTATGCAATAAAACAGAGTAATACTATTTCTACAATAAGTGGTAGTATAGTAATAAGAGCAGCAGTAGCAGTAGAATATATAATATAGAAATATAATATAATAAAAAATAAAATATATGAATAGCAAAAAATAAAATAAAATAAATATATATATGATATATCTGATAAAAAATGAATATAAAAAGATTAAAATATAGATAGATATTACGTTACTCATTATAATATATATGGGGAAAAAATGGTAAAGGGACCCATATGCAATCCAAACCTGAACAAAAGCAACAGCTTCTTGATCCTTGGCCATCACATTCAGATGAATAAAAATGAACCTTGGTCATCTGTATATATATATATATATACATAAAATAATTTATACAGATCCCTAACTTAAACAAGAAAACAGAGACGTGTTTAATTAACTAGGCAGACATGCAACCAATCCCACGCCTAGAAGTGGGAAAGATGAGAAACAAACCGCTACAAACAATACCCACCATCAAAGGGAAACTCTCTCTCACTTGTTCCATGTCCTTCTCATGCCCAGGGAACAAACAACTCGTAACCCTGTGATCCGACACAGCAATAGCCACAAACACCATAACCGACATAATGGCATGCACAAAGTCCGTTAACCCAACCTTAAATTTCTCGTCCTTTGGAACTGCCACATGAAGTCCCGATTTGAAAATCGACAACCCTTTTGTTGTCACAAAGCCGTAGTAAACATTTCCATCAGAGCCATGAAAACTATCGGTGAAGTGAAAGAAGAAGCACGAAAGTGCACATAGGAATAATAGGAAGTGGATCATGATGGTTTGAACGTGAGTGCACTGACCGTTTTGGTAGATTGCAGGAAGGACCATTTCAAATGTGAGGAGTGTGCCTGTTGGAAGGAAGTTACCAAGCATTGAAGTCTTTGAGAGGGTTTTTTGGACGCCCTTTGCCATCATGGCACGACGCTTCCCCAATGGTGGAGAAGGGGGGTTGTTGTTCGAGAGGTTTTGCATTCCATCTTGTGGTGGTGGAGTTGCATTGTAGACTTTGATGCCGATTTCTTGTTGAGTTTGATCCATTGATTGATACTTGTGCGTAACTGCATGTGTAGTAGAAATGGAGGGAATGAATGAAGGGAATGATGGTTTTGGATAAAGGGTTCTATATAGTGTAGTTAATTTCAGTTTAAAATTGTTGGGCAGTTATTGATGGTTAAATAGAGTAATTCTTGTCTGGGGACGGAACCAACACATCATTTTTTGGTACAAACATTACAAATAATAATAATAAAAAAAGACAACATTAAAATATTATAACAATGTAATAATTACTTAAAGAAAAAGTTTAAAAAAAAACTTTACTCTTTCGTCTCTCACCCTCTCCCCTGCTCCTCCAATCGAAAACTCCATTTTCTTTTGGTGTTTGCAGGGTTTAACATGCCTTGCCCAATAGAATAAAAAATCGATGAGTACGAGAAGGACAGTGAATAGTGTGGCTACAGTACAGTTTGACTGAGAATAAGAGAAAGAAATGGTGCTCAACAATTAATACTGTAAGTTGGCTGGGTTGGAGCGATGCGGCAGAACCACAAATTTGGATGGTAGTGGAAGATACACTTGTATGTAAAGAGTGGAAGGGCAAAATGAGAACGGGATTATATTATTTTTTAAAATATTTTAAAGTTTTAATGTGCTGTCACATAATCATTGAGTGCCATTATTTATAAGTTAAATATATAGAAATTATGAATCACACCAAATACGAAGATGAGAACAAACCCCAATTTCAAGTGACATTAAGCATAGAATAAGTACTCCACACCATAATTCAAGCAAAGATTGTGCATTCTGTTTGGGTCTTTAGTTATAGTAGATGGATGAGTTTTGAATTCCATGCACAATAAATATTAAGCCAAAAAAGTATTTGATCCTTGAATATAAACAAAAAATATTTTAAAAAAAAACAACAAAGTGTAAATATGAATTAAGAAGTGACAATGGTTAGTCGTATTTAAATGAAATACACATAAATCATAAAAAGAAAACAAATAATCAGATAATTTGTATAAATCATAAAATAAAAGAAAGGAAAAAATAGAGCAACATGTGAGATGTGAGAACCACGTCATAAGAAGAATTGATAAGCACAGTATTATCAATGTTGTAAAGAGAGTAAAAGACCACACTTTGAAGATGGTGATGATAGAGAGAAGAATACTTAGGGAGAACAATGAATGATTAGTCACATATACATGTAGTACACAAATCACACACACACAACACAAGTCATGTAAGCATATAATTAAATTATTAAATTATAAAAGTAAAAGCAGGTGAAGAAGAAAAAAAGTAGATTAACATGTAGAAACCTCATTATAAGAATAAATGATAAGCATAGTAGAACCAATATTGCAAAGAGAGTGAGAGGCACTTCGAAGATGGTGAAGCAGTGACAGAGAGGAGACTATTAGGGGGAACATACTAAATAATTGCTTTAAAACTGAAAATCACATGAGAAACTAAACTCACTAATCGTTCTTGTATTCAAGAAATGTGACTTTTGAAGTGAAAGTAAATGAGGATGATGGTGTAAATGCTTTAATTTACGGGAAGTAAAAAGTTAATTGAGAAAATTTATTAAATGATAAATGGAAACTATGCAGAATAATTAAAAGTTATAAAATCAATTAGTGAGAGAATAAGATAAGAGCATATTATCAATAAGGTTACTCATCCGAAAAAAAAGGGAAATAATTAAAAAGAAAGAAAAGACAACCTTAATTAAAACAAGGAAGGGAAGAAGATAGAGAAGAGAGTAGCATTGATGGTCCCAACCAGCTCATAAAATTGCACGTTTTAAATTCATGGGCAATGGTCGTATCGTGTCTTCGAACAATTTTGTGGCCAAATGAACTTGTAACTCGAAAATCTTTGGTTCCAATCTTCAATCATTTCCAACCACAAAACTCCTCCATGCCACGACCCACCTAGTGGATTTTCTAGCTTCTTCAATTTTTATATATTGGTAGTTTCTTATGTTACAATTCATATCAAATGCCAAAGTCCCTCATCTCTAGTTTTTCATTTTGTGGGTTTCTTATTGATCGCTCAATTTAAGCATTTGGGTATGCCACATTTTTCTCATGGCATCATCAATGGGATCTTTAGCATTTCCGTTGGAAACAAGTGGTCAAGCTTTGGTGGTTCTTGACACTGTAAGAATTAATTGCTGTCTAAGATTTCCACTTAATGTTTTGGGTATAAAAGGTTCAGTTTTTAAGCATTCTGAAAGCTTGGGATTGGGTTGGCACAAAAGGAGTAAATATAAGCGCATAAGAGCAATAGTGAGTAAGAGTAGTTTTGGGATTGGAAGAAATGAGGATAAAGAAGGGGTGGAGGGTGTGCTTCTAGCAACCATTGAAAAGAGAAAGAAGGTACTTCAATTGCAAAGGGATCTACTTCAACAGGTATATATTTCATTAACATTTCACAACATTGAAGAAGATTGTCGTTTTTATTTCGGCAACAATGTCGTGTGTTGTATTGATTTTGAGTTTAAATTTAACTGATAAAATTGTTGCTAAAGTTCGCACTTCTAACCTTATTCGCTCACTAGTAATATGCCTGAATGATTCATGATGTAAATTATAAATTATATTTTTAATTGCAATTTATTGATATTTATTTATAGTATAAAAATATTATAAAATTTTTATCACTGAATTTTTTTCTATTAATATATTTAAATAATGCTATTCTAAAAACTAAATATAATGTAATTTTGTTAAGATTAGAAATGACATTTTTATACAAAAAAAATATTTTAAATTTAATTAGTGTCAAAAGTTTTAAATCAATCAACTATCAAAATATATTTTAATACTTAATTATACAATAATGCATAGATTATATAATAAGTGCTTATGAATATTATAAAGCTTTTATATGAGTGGGCTAGATTGTATAACCTTGTAAAGATAGTTAATTTTTTTTTAAAGTCACTAATCACTTAACAATATTTATAACATTAATGTTTTAATTTTTAACAATTTATAATAAAATTTAATAATTAATATTAATTTCTATCACTCTAACGTATAAAAAAAATTCTCATTTCATATATATATATATATATATATATATATGGAATAAGATCTTCTCACACCAGAACAAGTCTACACTTTTAACTTCGATCTTAACTTTTTATTTAACTACATTTAATAAATTATAATTTATTACTTCATTAACTATTAGATGTAAGTTAAATAAAAAGTTTAGATTTGAGTATAAGAGTTTTCACTTACATTAGTTTGAGAAGATATTTTTTCTCTATATATATTAACACATACAGATTTTACTCCATCAAATTGATTTATCAGACTTAGGAAACAGATCATTATTAGCTTCTTGGATTTTAGCTTACTATAAATATTATAGATTGTAGGTTATTTCCTTTTCTCATCAATAAATAATAGAGTTGATCAATTAACAATTATGTTTCTGTTCATCTACTTTGCTTGGTCTCTTCAATGCTTTCTTATAAATCCTATAAGTATTCCATGCATTCATGTGGTTTTTTATTGTTCATTGTAGATTTCTGAAAGAAAGAAACTGGTTTCTTCCATTAATAGTGATAACATTCTTAAATCAGAAGGGAACAGTAATATTTCTTATGAACTCCGTGACAAATATCTCTCAAATAAATCAAGTCCACAAAGTGCTTCCACCAATGGAGGCAATGCAGTTATAAACCAAAATGGAAGCATTGTTTCAAGAAACTATGTCCATTCCAATGAAGGGTACGTGGAAGCTCCACTTGTAGGCATAAATGGAGGCGTTGATGAAAGACAAGCCTCCATTAGACTTGATACTCTATCACACTTCTTTGCAAATGGCACTGAAACTTCAAGTTTAGAGGTTGAAAATGAGGAAGGTATGAGTGAATCTAGCACTATTGAAGGTGAAGGTGAAACTGAAAAATCCACACTTTTGGCTGGGACCAATGTTATGAATGTTATATTGGTTGCAGCAGAATGTGCCCCCTGGTCAAAAACAGGTAATTAACTTGATCTCTATGGAAAGGTTTTCCTTTTCAAATTCATGTTGTTGAGCTGTCCTATGAACTAGGCACTATTGAGAATTTGAGAGAGACACTGAAATCAAATTTATGATGATTACCCTAAGTTAGCTAATGATGACAGTTGAACTTGGTGATTGGATGATTTTGCAGGCAACCAGTTTAATAGCCACATGGTTTCATTGGCTCTTTGAGATAAATTTGTACTAAGAAAAAATGCAGTACCATGCCTATACTAATTTTGGTAACTTCAATGTTAGCGATGTAATACAAATCCAATAAAAACGAATAAAAAGAAAAGTGTTAGTGATGTAATATAAAAACCATTTTCTGTGTCTTCTTCTAACAGCTTAAGCTTTTAGGATAATTGGTTAATGACAAAAAGGGAACTGTTTTAAGTGTAATTTGGTTTATGCCTTAACATTTTGCAAAGTTGTTTTAAAACTTGAATCAATGTAACAAAAGTAAAAAAGAAAAGAAAAAAAAAATTACTGCTAGACTTTCTATGGAATTACACATATTTGCCATGACAAAAACCCTGCTCACAAAACAAGTTGATAACATAATGTGGTAAATAGATCCATTCATAGGCTTCAACTACTTCCATGCGAAGGTCCATAGAACTCTTCCTCTTATCTATTTGGCAAACCATTTGCTCTATCTTTTGTTGTCCTTCTGGGCATGCCACTTCCATTTTTGTGTAATTTACAGACTTATACGTGTGATAATAGGTGGCCTCGGTGATGTTGTTGGTTCATTACCAAAGGCTTTGGCTAGGCGTGGACATAGAGTTATGGTAAAATGTTACTTCCTTGTCAAATGATGAACAACTTGAACTTCACAAAATACTTTCCCTGATTCCTTTTGAATAATAATACATCAATTTTCTCATTTCTTTCCCTACTATTTCCCTCATAGGTTGTGACACCTATGTATGGTAACTATGCGGAACCCCAAGATACAGGAGTGGGAAAAATGTACAAAGTAGATGGTCAAGTATGCAGCAGCTATTTTATTTGTAATCAATTAAATTCTTTGAATCTATATTGAATTGCTTCTACAATTTTATGGTGCTGTAACCCTTCCAATTTCCACTTTACAGGATGTGGAAGTAAAATATTTCCAATCCTACATTGAAGGTGTAGACTTTGTTTTCGTTGAGAGTTCAATGTTTCATCATCTAGAACATAACATATATGGGGGGAGCCGGTTGGTAATAATCTATTTTTGTTGAGATCCGTTGTTATTCATTTTCGTTGTTTGTCATGTAACGTTGAGAAAAAGGATTTGCGAGCTATTGGTTTCCACCATTAGCTAAATGATTAAGCAAGGTGTAATCAAAATCCTATGCAGTTATGTTTGTATTATTTCTTAGCCATTTGACTCGTGTTGTCCTTTATCAACAGGATATTCTAAAACGCATGGTGCTCTTTTGCAAGGCAGCTGTTGAGGTACATAAACTATTTGGTTTTACGAATGAATCAATTAATGGCAGCTATGATATCTCAAGACCCTTTTGAGTATATTTCATATGATATTATTTTTATGCTAAAGACAAACATTTCTGAGTACGAGATTGTGAATAGATGTGATAACATGGTGATTATTTCTAACAATGGTCAACTTCAATTTCAAATCCTTATTTATGTATGCTTGAACATAGTGACAAAATGAATTTAACCCTTTGCAGGTTCCTTGGCACGTTCCATGTGGGGGTGTTTGCTACGGAGATGGAAATTTGGCCTTCATTGCAAATGATTGGCATACTGCATTGCTGCCAGTGTATCTGAAGGCATATTATCGCGATCATGGTTTGATGAAATATGCAAGATCAGTTCTTGTGATTCATAACATAGCTCACCAGGTTCCATCCCTATCGAGATAACGATTTTAACATAATTCATTCATTGTTTTGTCCAATTAATTAAGAAGCTGCTGGATACTCCCTTTTTTTTTTTTAATGTATTAGTCAACGCTGGTGCAATTTCATAGGAAATAAATGTACCCCCCAGAAAAGGTTTATTAACATTTATTTTTCGTGAAGGTACACATTGTGATTTGGCTTGACTGCAAAATCAATACCATACGGATCAAAAAGTGTATAAATAAATAATGATTATAGAGGGAGAGTGCTATAATAATAATTAGAATTCTTCTGTCACCCTTTACCAGGTAAAATAAAAGCATTCAATTAAAAAAGAAAAATGAGTATCTTTAGATGTCTCTACATATTCCATATAGTACATTTAAGCTAAAAAAATTGTACTTAACCTAAAATTGTAGAAGTATTCGATCATATAAATTATGATGAATTGTATTCAATTAAGATGGTAGGTTGCATGTGAAAACAATTTCTTACCTTTGAATGAAAAACTACTTTACGTAGAGTCTAAACTGATTTCATTTACTTGGAATCTAAACTGCATTTTTATTATAATGAAAAGGAACATTGACACACTTTCCTTGCAGGGTCGGGGGCCTGTTCATGATTTCTTCTCTGTGGATTTACCGGAACACTACATGGAGCTTTTCAAATTATATGACCCCATTGGAGGTGAACATTTCAATATCTTTGCAGCTGGTTTAAAAACAGCAGACCGTGTAGTCACTGTTAGTCATGGATATGCATGGGAACTTAAAACTTCTGAAGGTGGTTGGGGTCTGCATGGGATCATAAATGAGAATGAATGGAAGTTAAGGGGTATTGTGAATGGAATTGATAACAAAGATTGGAACCCTCAGTTTGATGTTCACTTGAAATCAGATGGCTACACTAACTACTCCCTTGGGACACTTTCTAGTGGCAAGGGTCAGTGTAAAGCAGCATTGCAAAAGGAGCTTGGTTTGCCTATCCGTGAGGATGTTCCAGTAATTGGCTTCATTGGAAGGTTGGATCAGCAGAAAGGTGTTGATCTTATAGCTGAAGCAATACCTTGGATGATGGGTCACGATATGCAACTAATCATGTTAGGCACCGGAAGGCCTGATCTAGAACACATGCTTAGGCAATTTGAAAACCAACACCATGACAAGATCAGGGGATGGGTTGGCTTTTCTGTGAAGATGGCTCACAGGATAACTGCAGGTTCAGACGTATTGCTCATGCCATCAAGGTTTGAGCCATGTGGATTGAACCAACTCTATGCCATGAATTATGGAACAGTTCCTGTGGTACATGCTGTTGGTGGACTGAGAGACACAGTGCGGCCTTTTAATCCTTTTAATGAGTCAGGCCTTGGGTGGACATTTGATAGTGCAGATGCAGGTAAGTTAGTACACGCATTAGGGAATTGCTTATTAACCTATAAGCAGTATAAGAAGAGCTGGGAAGGCCTTCAAAGGCGAGGAATTACACAAGATCTTAGTTGGGACAATGCTGCTCAGCAGTATGAGGAAGTGCTTCTTGCTGCCAAATACCAATGGTGAATTTTTGGCATTTATTCAATCTAAGCAGAGTAATAAATATGAAGCTCATTCAAGTTGAACTGTTTCAATGTACTAATTGTTGTAATAGGGATAGGAACTATGGAAGTTGTATAAATTTTATAAGTCACAGTTAGAGCCTTTATGATGAGAAGTGCGAAGGATGTGTTTAATTGGCTAATAATGCGTTTGGTATATAGTTTAATTGAGTGCTTATTTACTAAAATCTTTATATATAAAGACTTGTACCACAAATTTAATTAAAAGAACATATTTAAATAAGTTGTTTTGATCAACTATATCATTAAACTTGCTTACGAGAGTCTTACACTATTTCCATAAACTAATTAATTGCCTATAAGAACTTCCAAACACCCAAGTTAATGATGGCTACGGGTGGGATCAACCTAAGCCACATAATAAGAAGCAATCAGATTGTGAGTATAGTTAATTCACAATCTAATTGATTAAACCAATTAATTTGGTCTGATTTATAAAAACGCTGCTTCAAACAAAAAAAAAGACAAAGTACAAGCTATATAATAAGATAGTGTTGGAATAAAAGTTAAAGTCCCAATTCATAAAGTTAATGCAAATAAAAGAGTATATAAGAGGATTACTTTTCTTACTAGTTAGTTTATAAATCCAAGCTCACATATTGGAGATAATGGGATCAAATTTCCACGTGAATCACGCGCAGACACATGCTTATAACATCAATTAATTTCGGTATGACTTAAGCCGTATTAAAAGGAAGAAAGAAAGAAAATTCACATAAAAGCACAACACATTTATTAATTTTATCAAAGGCAATGGATCGTTAACACTCACCAGCACGATATTACAAAATGCAATGCCACAAATAAGAAGAAACTAGGATGACATGATTATACCCCATTCAAAATTAATACATCAACCGATATCAACTAGCAAAAGAAATTTGTATATACCTCTTAACTATAAAAAGGGGGTGCTTCATCAAAAGGAAGCCCTCCTCTCTCTACCAAACTGCACATAGGAACGAGTTGAGAGTAGTCCCGCAAACCCCTTTGACAGACAACCTTCAACTGCACATGGGGACATAGAAGAACACAGTGGGCTATTTTGTCTACTAGTTTCCATACAGTCCTCTGATGTATTCCCTGGTGGATTGTCCTCCCAATCTACTTCACCATGAGCTCTACTTCTTTTACAATTTGAAAAAATCATGTCATTGGATGTACTGGAGTACTCCATGTCATTTTGTCTTGTGTCCTCAAATAACTTCCTCTTTAGACCAGAAAAACTTCTTAGTCCTGTATGAAAACCATAGTCAGCAATAGATTTATATACCAGTGAGTACGATTATAACTCCTTATATCAGGGAAGGGTTGTAACTTCAATAAACTGACCAGGATGTGGGTCCTCAAAAACACATGACTGAGATTCTGGATCACCACAGTTACAATGGAAGTTAGCATTGTCATAGAATGGTCCTTGTATCCTGCAGGACAATGTAACAAATGAAGTACTGAGATATTGATAAAATAAAATCCAATGTGTTTAAAATTAAGCACATATAATGTCTCCTGTCAACTCAGTAAGTTTATAATAATCTATCATTTATATCTTTTATTTTAAAAGAATATTTATTAGAAATGCAAAATTTTCCTTCTCCTTCCTTCCCCTCCAAACATAACTCCCAAATATACCCTAGCCAACAACAATCTTATGGTATGTTTGGATGTGAGATGAAATAGAGAGGAAAGAAATAGGAGAGAAAGAAATAAGAGGGTGAGAAATAGAGTGAAAAATATAAAATGTTTGGATGAGTTGAAATAAGAGAAAAAAAATGATAAAAAATTCTTTCCACTTGTTTGGATAAGTAAAAAAATATGGAAAGAAATAATTGAGTTGTATTAAAAATATTCATAAAAAATTAAAATTAATTTAAATTTTTTATTTTAATTTATTTCTTAATAAAAAAATTGAATTTTAATATTTTTTTACAATTTTTTATATTATTTTAATCATTTTAAAAATAAAAAACCAAAATTACAAAAAAAAAAAAAACCTTCCAAGATCTAAAATACAGTAAACCTAACAGTGATAATTTATTATAAAAAAAATTAAGATGCTTTGTTTTGCCACAAAGAAACCAAACCTGTACATATGCTCAACAAAATCATCTATTAAAACAGGCCAAGCACCTGCAAGAAAAAAAATGATCATTGCATCAGTATGTCATAACATCATGTCTATTCCCACTCCCCCTCTTTTTCAATGCCGATTCCCTAAGTAATCATTTTCAACTAATCTAACCTTCCACTAATTAAAGGATGTCAAAAGTGCTTTTCTGATCTCACTACTTAATATAAGAATACATAAATTACATGCAGATGCATTAAATAACCATGCAAATATTAGTGCATTAAATAAGACTTAAATGTACATGACATGGAGAGAGGTATATAAGTACTAATATCTGTATTTGTGTAGCTAATTGTAAAAGGTACACACTAAGAATAGTACCTTCAGGATCATAAGCTTCCAGACTATCGCGTGTACACCAGCTGAAAGCTAGAACCTGTTGCCAGGTATCCTCAGAGATGTTGTATCGTTGATTTTTCTAAATAAAAATTGTTATATCAGCATCCAACAAAAGAAAATTAAAATACAACTCTACTAGATTGTAGAAATAGATTGGCCCACAGGTCAACCTGATCTGACCACTCAACTCAAAGGTTAAAAGGATTGAACCTTGTAGAGATGGCACATGGGACCAAGCCTAATTTCACAGCTCTACAATCCTATCCTAGATCATAAAATTGGTCATTTGAACAACATATCTTATGTTCAATGTGTAGGGCAATTTTCTCATAATCATTGGTTGTTGCGGTAGTCAAGAAAGTTTTAAAAACTGTGACATACAGAGAAAGCAAGCATGAATAAAGCATAAACTTAAAGTCAAATCATCTCAATTTTGTTGTTGTTATTGTTGTATTATCCCAAGCGCTTTACCATTTCTTTGGTATTCAGGTTTATTAGGATTAGTAAGTAGATAATTTCAGCAAGCCTAGAGCATGACAACAATGCCATAAAAGGATTGTATATTACAATGTTTAGAATTTGCAGTATACATGTGTTCCTGCCCCATGTAGTACCTGGGTTTCCAAAGTTTTCCCTACCCAGGACCCAAAGAACACTAAATATAATCTCCAAGATTTCCTATCCTTCCACTAATAGACAGCATTCCCCATAAGAAATTTATATATGGTTAAAAGTTAAAACTACAAAGTCTCCCTCTCAAACACAACCCTGATGACTAAGGAAAACCCAAAAAAGTTTTTCAGTCCTCTAAGCATTGATGTACCTCAACAAAGTCACACCATGGATGAAGCAGTGAAAACCTCCCAGCAAGAACTAATTTCCATGCAGTTATTGCCCTGCTTACAGCTGTAAATTATCAAAGTTTACCAAGTAAAGGAAATAACCAGTGAGTATTTCATACTGCATCACCACTAGTGGAATAAATAGATGTACAAATTGTTAAACTTGGATACTTACTGATATTCTTTTGACCATTTTCACGACAAATGAAGAAAACAAAATCATAGAACCGAGAGAATTCTGAAAAATCCACCTGGACAGAGAAACATAGGAAGCACATATTTGAATAAAAATGTAGAAGTTTAAAAAAAAAAAAAGAAAATGAGCATAAGAATTATTTGCTTCATGCTATATTTTTTTTTCTTCTCTCTTCCTATAGTATAGATAATGCACAACCTCTTGAAATTTCATTTTTATTTTCCACTTCCAGATGCCTCAGTGACAGAGGCAAGGGATGTTAATATGCTCATTTGGTATCCTACTTCTGTGCATCCAACTACTGCAAATAATAGCAGCAAAATTCTTCTTTTATAATTAAGGAAATGCTAAAGCCTACTTGTGTACTATTAGGCAGAAAATGTTTTATTGGATAAAAACATCTGACAATGCATAACTGAATAATATCAAGGAAATCAAAACTCACCGTTGAATCCAGTTGTGACATGAGCATTGAAAGTTCATCAAAAATAGTTATCCTGACAAATTTTCCATGTCAACAAATTTCAAGTTAGGAAAGAAAGATGCAGACATGGTGTAATCATATAATATTGCATGAACATTTAAATTTAAATTAACATATAAATCTGTGATAAATCTGGTCCTTCAGAAGCATAACCCTAATGCAGTTTGAAAATGTAAAGTACACAAGATCCAAACATGACCCAAAAACTGTCAAGATTGGACACTTTCCCTAATATACGTAAACAACAAATTGTAGAAAATATCACAGACTTGGTAAAAGAACACACGATCATCACAGAAAGACACAAGAGAATTTATCTACTCATACATTTATCTAATGTTAATTGTTATCACATTGAACGCCATCACCTCAACAACTGAACGAGTTCATTCAACATCTATTATCTTAGTTATCATGAAAGCAATTCCCTTAAGCCAGGGAATCTAAACAGTGTGATTGCTCATTCAGAATTTCAGTTTGCTTACACATGATCCCAATTTTATACCTTTTCTAATATAAGCAAAACTGCAAAATATTACTAAACATATTTTCATTGTCATATTCCCCTTGGTTATTAAGACAGTAATTTCCCTTTAGTATCCATGGTTTCCTTGAAGGAAAATTTTCCTTAATTAAACTACAAAGATTTTCATTCCTATATTTGGGCCTTCTCTTATCAACATAAATGCTAGAATGCAATCTATGTAACTCCATCTCAACTACTTTTGGTATAGAACTAGATAACCAAATAATATTTCTCAATTCCTCAATCAAGTAACTCAAATACCACTTCAGTTACTTTTTACTCTCAACCCCTCAATCAAGTGACTCAAATGCCATTTTCTTGATTTCCTTTGTACACTTATCTCCTTTGCCACATCATCATCATAATTCTAGCATGGTTGTTGCAATAAAAAATTCCTACCAAGGAAGTCAAATATAATCTTTCTGACTCACTCCATATCTTGTTTAAAACATTCCACAGTTATTTCCAAAAATACCAGAAATAAATGAACCTACCACTTTACAAAGGTAATCAATAAATCTATATAACTTAGATGCAGCACACTTTGCTTGAAACTGAAACTATTAAGAAAATATAAGACTGATGGAAGAGGACTGGCAGTAACATTCACAAGTAACATAATCACATAACATAAATTTGTGATACAATTGTTTCCTAAGAAACTACCGCTGAAGAACAAGTGTCTTTTCGAGTCCAATCAATTCCCACCATTTGCAAATAAAATCAATATAAAATCACTTATACACTTATAAAATTCTCCTCTGATACTTAGAAATAAAAAAAACCAGTAACAGAATTCCATATTGTTGGCCATAGAATAATAAGCTTCGTAACACAAAAAAGGAAGCACAATTGGCCTCAAAATCATCACAAGAAAATGTCAAAGAAACAGACCCTGTACTAACTCGAGACTCCACCAATTTTGAGAGCTGTGTCAGAGCCTCCCTTGAGACCTTAGCCTTCTGAAGGTCACTGTCTTGCCTGTACCCTTCTTCCCCACTGACATATGCATATCCTGATTTTATGTCTGTACAACCATATTCAAATAAATAAATAACCACATACATCATAACAAATACAGTTAACAAAACTAATATATTTAAATTTAAAATTTTTAAAAAAATCTCCTTCTGCTTCTAGTTCCATATTTTTCTTGGAAAGACAGAGAACTACAGCATAAAACCCAGAAAATAAAAAATTGAATTTGGATGACCCAAAAGGAAAAATTCATCGAGAAACGAAACAAAAATCAAACATGGTGCATAGCCAACAATGGAATTGGTCAGTAGTGCGTAATATTAAGAAGGGGGAAGTGGGGAACATTACGAGAGTATCTTCGATAAATCTCGAAGATATCGATCGGAGATGCATCGGCATCCATGGTGAAACTTTGCCTCCGTAGCTCTTCGAGCAAGCAGCGAGGGAGCAGAAGAGAGAAAGAGAGAGAGAGAGAGGGTGAGAGTAGTTATTAATAACTACGCCAAACACGTTCAGTTTCTTAATTTCAAATTTTCATTTTATTTTTTAACAATGTACTTGATCAGTATACAAATTTAATTTTGAATCAACTTGCTTTTGTAAAAATATTTTTATTTGAAAATAAGTCTAAATAAAGTGATCTGTTTTTTGTTTAGAAATATCTTTTATAAGAACAAATTTAGAATAAATTCTTCAACTCAACTTTAAAATTTTAATTTATCATGTTAATTTAGTTACAAATTAAAAAATAATAATTATATCATAATATAAAATTGTTAAACATGTTAACATAAATTTTTAATTATTTTTATATTTTTAAACTTGAGTTTAATAACTTTTAAAGTTAATCAAAACAAACACTAAAGTTTGACACTTTTAATGTATCATCTTACATTCAAAGACTCTTTTAATATTTATTTATTATTTTGTAAAATAATTATTAAAAAAATATGTATATTTATCATTTTAAAAGTATAAAAAATGTTTAATAGTTTATTTAATAATTTAAAATTTTTATAAAAATACAAAATTAAAGAATTTAAAATTATTCTTAAATAAATTGGTGTCTTAAGTATATTAATAATATTTTATAATAAAATATTTTAATTTTAATTTTTTAACAACAATGATTCAAAATATTGGTAATTAATTTTTTTATGATATTTATTAAAAAAATTAATAAGTAAAAAAATTAAAAATTAAGCAAAATTAGTGTTTTTACTCTCTAACTTTAAGGTTAATTTAAATTTCTTAAAAACTCTAATTCTGTTAGAAAACTTTGTAGTTTTGTTTCATATGTATGTGTTTAATTTTTTACCTTATCTATAGTGCATCTTTTTTCACTTTTTCTTTTTCATCTTTATCTTTTTACGATTAAAACTATATTTTCTTATCATCAATATCAAACATTCACTATTCAAATTTTAAATCATAAATAATTTAACTTTTTAAATACTTATTTTCTATCTCTAATAAATTTAAAGAAAAAGAAGGTAAATAATATTATACAATATATATAGTGTAAAATAACAATTTTTTAATATAATTAGAGTTTTTAACAGAAAATGACATATTTAAAAATTTTGTAAAAGTTAAAACTAAAGTAAACAAAGAGTTAGAAGATAAAATAAAAATCTATTTAGAAGACAAAAACACTAATTTTTTCTTAAAATTATGTTAAATTATATTAGAATAAATGATAAAAGTGTATTAATAGTATTTTTAATAAAAAAAATATTTTAAAGTTTTTAATTGATGTTTTTAATTTTTTCCATTAAATAAATGAAGAATTTTGAGAAATTCAGTAACCAAAAGACATTTTATTATTAACTATTAAGATTCATGAAAACTTGTGGTCTCACTCTTTAATTAACATTAACTTTTAATCTTTTTTATAAGACATCTTTAACTAATTATATAAATCAATAATATATAATTATAATTAATTGATTTTCTTACTTTAAAAAAAATACCACAATATATCAATTCCACCATCATTTAAAGTGGTTAAATTTAATTCAACTATTAATACTTTAGTTTAGAAAATTTGCTGCTTTCCTTTATGGTTTTAATTTTCAGTTCCCACTAACTATTTATCAAGGATAAATAAATAAATAAAAGATTTTTTTTGTTAATGCTAATTGTTAGTTGTTATTTAATTTAAAAAGTTCCAAAATTGAACTTAAGACACGAGCAACTGAGCAAGTTAGGTCTTTTAGAAAATTATATTTGAACCCAAAAGTTGTTGTATATACAAATTAGTCCTTTTAAGTAGAAATGATTTACAAATTGGTAACGTAAACGTATTAATAAGTTGGTAACTTTGAGACTAATTTGTCTAGATGTACATTTGTAGATGTCAGAGTAATGCAAATTATCACATACAATACCAAAGTGTATATTAAATTAAAATAGAAAAAAAAAAGTGGAGAAATTGATCCATCTTGAACTTGACAGAGATGCAGAAGTTAGTAGCTGTTTCTGAGATGCATGGGTTGCTGTTTGTGACATCAATAATAACACACTTGATATGACAGCATTGACTATTGAGTATAAAGTTTTTGAGTTCAAAGATGTTATAATAATAATAATAATAATAATAATAATAAACACAATAAAATTACAAATTCAGTCCTCAGGAAACAAAACTGAAAAGCACCAAAAAAATAAATTGCAAAATAAATATAACAAAAAAATTACAAAATACATAAACAATAACAATTAAGTCCTACAAATTCTATCCTTCTATATAAAATTGACTACAAGAATCACATAACACCATTGAAATTTAATTAAAAATCAAAATTTCTGCTTTATTATTTATTATTAAATCTCTTCTAATATTTTTTTTTGTAAAAGTTCTTCCAAGTTTTTCTCTATTTTTTTTATCAAACTAAAACAAAAAAATGCAAAATGCTCAAAGAAAATAGGACTCTTATTAATTGATCACAAAACAAATTACATGTATCATAGAATCGTATCCTAATAAAAAAAGATGGGGCTAAGTTAGGGGGAAGATGAGGTGAGCTAACAAGAAGCTAATTAGTTTATAGGTCTGTGAGTTGAATGACATAATAATGTCATCACCAATAATCGCCACAGGAACAACTCCCGTTTCTAAAATGGTGAAATCTACTAGCATCTCTTACCACAATTTCCCGTCCTGTAACCATCGCTATGAGTTTAATTGCACTGTGGCAATCACCACACACACGATGGCCCTGTGTAATTTGCAACGGTGTCCAATTTGGAGTGTTGATAAGCCCACAAGCAATAGCCAACTTTTCACTATGGTATTTTAGAATGCGCTGTTCCTCTTCATCCACATCAGGAAGCAAAGTTTCGTTCTCCTCAATGTAACCATGCTTGGATATCTCAACCATCAGGTTGTCCACTTTTTGATATATTTCCTTTGTTTGAGAGTGAGATTTATCACCACAAAGGAAGGCATAAGGCTGTTTATTGACTTCAATCCAGCTACAAGCTGGAAGCATTCTTAAACCCTTCCTCTTTAATGTCTGCAAAACACCAGCAGCTTCCTTCAATTTGCCAGAACTGCTATATATATTCAAAAGCAGCACATAATTACACAGCTTTTCAGGCTCCATCCCATAAAGTTTTTCAGCAGCTAACTTCCCTAGCTCTAAATTCTCATGCATTCTGCATGCTGTCAGCAATGCTGCCCACATATTTTGCGTTGGTTTGAAAGGAGCACTTTTTATTAGTGCATAAGCCTCATCTAACAAACCCTCTCGACCTAATAGTTCAATCATACATGCATAATGCATTGCTCTGGGCTTAATCTTGTGATCTCTACTCATGGAGTAAAAAATCTCCCAACCTCGTTCTGATAATCCTGAATAGCTACAAGCAGATAAGACAGCAAGGAAAGTCACATGGTTGGGAATCATCCTTTCTCGAAGCATCTGCTTAAACATTTCTACAGCCTCTGCTACCTGACCATGATTACCGTATCCAGCAATCAATGCATTCCATGATATAACATTCTTGCGGTGCATCCTGTCAAAAACATGTCGGGCATCTTCCATTCTACCCCATTTGCTATAAAAGTCCACAAGTGCTGTGTTTGCCACTATATCTGTGCCAAAACCATGACGAACTAAAGCAGCATGAGCTTGTTTTGCATGCTCTAAAGATGCCAATCTTGCACAAATTCTTATCACTATCGAAATAGTAAAATGGTCTAATTTAGCACCACTATCGCGCATCTCATAGTACATACTAAGAGCTTCCTCACTATAACCATGGAGGGCATAGCCAGCAATAATGGAATTCCATCCTACGGTCGTCTTCTCCGGCATTTGATCAAACACACAATGAGCATCTTCAATGCTACCACACTTACTGTACATGTCAATTAGCGCACAAGACACAAAATTATCATCTCCGACCCCTCTTTTCAAAGCACACGAATGAATCTGCCTTCCCACCTGAATAAGACCCAATCCAGCCGATGCCCGAATCATGGTGGCAAAAGTGCGAGATCTTCCATCATTGAACTCTTCCCACATACACAAAAACAACCTAAAAGCTTCAGAGAAATTCCCGGAGTCCACAAGTCCACCAATCATGGTCATCCACGAAACCACATCTTTCTCCGGCATTTCATCAAACATCTTGTGCGCATCAATCATGAGACCACATTTCACATGCATAAGCAAAACCCTGTTCATCATATACAAATCAGGCTCAAACTCACTATTAATCATATAATTGAACAGCCTCTTAACACCTCGAATCGATCTCAAACTGACACAAGCACTGACCAAAGCATCATAAGTGCTGCCACCCACATCAAAACCATCATGTTCAAGTTCCAAAATTTCAAACAACTCCATTGCTTCCCTATACCTATTACACAAAACCAACTTCTCTATCTGACTACAGAGTCCAGAAGAGGACGTTTTCCTGATCTGGGTGTCATCCACAACTGGCACTTGTCTTTCCACATAATCAATTTTCTTGGGTTTGGGTTTCAGCCTTTGTTCCATGGAGGAACAACAAATCCGGGAAACGGGGTTGCTCCAATTTCTCACCTTTGAGGCAAAAGAACAACCAAAAAAGGAAAGGATGCTGGAAGAGGAAGAACCCCGAAAAGGGGTTTGAGATTTGTGAGGAGAGATTGCAATTTCCATTGACAATAGAGGTGAATATGCAAGGAAAATGTGAGTAAGGATTCAAGTTCCTCATACTGAAAAAGGGATTTTGAGTGTGAATGTGTAGAATGGAAAAAGGTGAGATTTGGAACGCGTCTGCATCAGAAACATTGAGGTTTCCGCCAAGGTAGGTTGGGTAGTTAGTGACTAGGAACATGCGTTGGATTCATCGTCATGCAACTGCTGCAAGGTTTTTATTTGCGTTTTTTTTTTTTTTCATAAATAAGTAAATAATGAAGAATTACATCTCAAAAATGTTGTGTTGATCATATTATTTATTATTCTTATATGAGGAAAATAACATCTCATGTGTTTTTCTATTAATTAGTTTTTCACGTTAAGAATTTTAAAAGCTAGGCTGATAAATAGAATAGTTCACGGACTACAGCAATGATTATATAAAGTTTTATCAGAAAAAATGGATGTAGCTATCGTATTGTTTTTTAATATTTTTTTTATCTAAATAAAAGATTTTTTTAATATAAGATAATCCTTCTTGAATCTAATATATTAATAATAAGGGGTGAGTATGGATTGAATTTACCTAAAATCAATTTAAATTCAAATATATAGATTCGATTTTAAATTAATCTATTTTCTTTTTTTAAAAAAAAACCAGTTTAAAATTAGTTTCAAAATTTGATTTTGGTTTAAAATCAATTTTAAATATATGATTTTAGTTAAATTAGCTTTGGATGCTAAATTGGTATAATTACAATGTAATTAATTTTTTAAATTAATATTATTTTTTATTACATTTTTAATTACAAATTTATTTCAAAAAATATATATATTGATGAATAAGAAATATTATTAATGTACTTTTCTTGAAAATTTATTTAAAAATATTAATCAAAAGTCTTAATATTTTAAAATGTATGGTAATTTAAATTTAGATATAATTTTATTTATTTATTTTTATAACTTTAGAGAAATTTTTTTGTTTATGTGTATTAAAATAATTTTTAAGGAATCAGAAAGAGAGTAAAACAAATTATTTTAAGTGCAGTTTTTGTGTTTTTGCAAGTGATTGTTAAATAGCTATAATGTTGCTCTGCAATGGAATATAACATGGGTGTGTGTTTATTATTTCCAAAACAGACCAATTTTGATAAATAAAATTTGGATATATTAAATGTAATCTGATATAAATTTGGATAAGAAAATAAAATAAATCTAAATATCTGGTTTTATTAAAAATCTAAATTTTAAAACTAGTTTAATATTGATTATGGATTGGATCTCCACATCTGAAATTTTTTGCTCAGGCCTATCAATAATATGGTATAATCAACTCTTTAAATAAAGATTTTTTAAAAACCACAAAATTTGAATCTAAAATCTGACTTAGAAATTAAGCAAGTATTATATATTTAAATTTGATTTATTCTGCCTGTATAATATAAAATTGAGTCATCACTCTTAAACGACAGTATTTTTAAAAATTACAGATCAATTTTCATGTATTGAGTATATATTTTATTTTTATATTTTTATTTTTATTTAATTTAACTTTTAAAATTTGATATATTATAGCAAATAAAAGATATCTTCTATCAATAAAAGTTTGTTTAAGCATTACATGCTTAATTCTCTTTAAATAAGATCTTTGAATTCAAATGAAATAAATTTTTTTTTTTTTACAATATTTTCTCTTGTTAAGAATACATGTGATTTAGACCCCAAAAAAAATAGAATATTGTAATTTGTTTTAATAATTTGTTCCTTTATTACTTACAAGTTTATCTTGAAAATAAGATATGTATTAGTAATAATAAAATATATACTATAGCATTCATTTTAAATTGATTGACACTTCGTTTTTTAAACAAGAATTGAGAAAAACAACAAAATATTATGTAGTAAAATAGTTTTTCTTACAAAAACATTACATTTATTACTTATGTGAGAAAAGTTTTGACTAGAAGGCTAATATTTTATTGAAATCTTGAATGTTGTTTAATTAAAAGAAATTTCGCTAAACAAACACTTAATTTGAATTGAAAAGGGTACTTTTTACAATTTTTTAGTTATAAACTTTGTTTAAATATTAAAATTATCATGCATTGCATATGTAATGCACAAAAAAAAAAAACAAGCCTTTATATTATGCGTATTTTTGGACGAGAACTTTTTAAAAAGTTATTCTTGTTCTCGTTATTTTTATTTTTATATTTCCTTTTTATTAGTTAATAATAATAACAACAATAAAGCTTATACATTAGTGTTATTTCCCTTTTAAATTAAAATGATAAAAAGAGGGGGAGAAGGGAGCAACCTTGATCATCCCTATTGCCAATAGTGCAACTTCATCCCACGCAATGTCAGCAGTTAACAACAATCACATTCTGAGGCCAAGTTCATAGATTCAATCCACAGTTTCAGACAAGAAGAGAACAGGGCCTTTTCTAATCTTAAGATCGCTAGACAATTGTTATATAACCCTTCACTTTGCTACAACATCAAGTAGTCTTTGCAATTTAAGGTTACAACTTATGTGTTATGATAGGATGAACTTTTTGGTCTCCAATCCCATGCATGAATAGGAATACAAGGAGGAAAGGAAAGGCAAAATAGTAGACTATGCAATACCTAACTAAAAGAGAATCAGACAAAAAAATTTATGGTTCCTCAATACATCAATTTCAGCAAATAATACCATGATGCTGTGTTTGTTTCTTGTCCAATATATGGAGATCACAAGAACAAACATGCTTAAGCATCCATTACATCAGACCATAGATCACCCAATAGCAGGTGCACGTGAAACAAAAGGTGATTTATGTGAATTTCTTAAACTTGTCACTATTATTATTCATCAGAACTTTCTGATAATAGGAACGCATGACAATAGGTATTGTCAGAATAATAACTTCAAGAAATTATGATGTGTGTAAAACAAGGCTCAGTCCATGCTGAAAGTGATCAGAGTTCATGCTGATCCAAATTATAAGTTATATCCTCTCGTTTAAAATAGGTAAGATATTTCAATCAAGGGACACGCTAACAAACATATTTGACACAAGATAGATGACTACTGTTCAAATGGACATTGAATGACAAAAGATGTTCAGAACTTCAGAATATCATGAAATAAATAAATTCAATCATGATAAATTAGAAACCAAGAAAGGAAATAATAGCAACTCTCAAAGTTATTTCAATTGTTGTTCCCTTCAAATGTAAATTCAATTTTGTGAAAAAATAATTCAAATGGAAAATCAAAGTTTATGAACACCAACATAAAAGATTTATCATACTTGTGCAATCCAATCCACAGTTCACATCACAGGTTACCTCTCCTAAAAGAGCCAGCCTAAGATGGCAAGCAATGCAATAAACCAATTTACATAATTAATTGAAAAAGTGCACAGCAATGTCTGACTGAAGAATTAAGTACAAGAGTAAATATTAAACTTCAGTGAATCAGTTATGCTTTTAAACAACACTTCTAACATTGCATCTCAACAAGGTTCAGCCATATGTTCATATAAGCTCAGAAAAACAACTTACTCCATCATAACCTGCACCCTACAAAAAGACTGGCAACTTTAATCCAGGCACATATCACAAAAACTGAAAGAACTGCAACCATTATAAATAATAACAGAAAATCATAAACAAATTAAAGAGAAAAAACAGTGAAGTAAATCAAATTAAAGGATTCTTATATTCCAGGTATAAATAACCAAACTGTATGATTCATAGTTTAGTACAACTTATTACCAAGGTGGGGCTTATTTAAAAGACAATCTAAGTCTAAATAATAGAATATGACCATGTAACTATAAGTACCTCCTCTGCCCACTTAAGATTATATTCTGTATTCAATTATCCTCTCCTCCCTATAACTTAAAGAGTCTTGTTTTCTTTTCTGTATCCTACTTCTTGATCTTCCGATTCTTTTTCGGCCCTGGAACTTCCAACCTACCAACAGAACAACCACACCTTGCTCTGAGAACAAGAACAGCCCTTCCATTGGGGGGTGCCATCTTCTTGAGCTCAGATTCGAGTTCGCGGTGATGATCACAGGGAAGCTTAAACAATCCCTTCTTAACTCCACCATCCTTAGGCAATGAAGGTGAATTCTTGACACAATCCTCAGTCTCCAACTGAATATCAAACTCTGCAGCCTTTCTTAGACCCTTGCAATTGGGATTCCCACATTTCCTTGTTGTGCAAACCACAATAATCCACACAGTCAATGCAGCAAAGGTAACACTCACACCAATGAACAAGTACACCCAAGGAGCAACAAAAACCTCTTCCTTCACCAAATTCACGATCACACCACCAATCTTCACACTTCCACTCGCCACAACCTGAACATAGGGGAACAACAAGAACCCGAAGGCGGCAACAACCGCCGCGAAAATCACCACATCCACCACAGCCGATCGAGATCGCCGGCACGGCGGAACCTGAAGGGAAGAATTGGGTGTCTTCCGAGTCCTCGATTTCGGAATCGAGCCGAAATCGAGGGAATTCGCCATTGAAGGTGTTTGGTCAACGGTGGAGTTGCAGGGAGAGATTGAGCTATGGAAATAGACCATTTCAATAACAACCCCAGAAACCCCAAATTGAATCAAACCCAGATCGAAACCACGTTTCTATGAACGACCCACTTTCGTCAAAAATAAAAAAGATGACAACCTTGGAGCGATCCAGAAGATTGATGACTCTTGAGGGTGCACCCAGATGGATCAAAAGGAGAAATTTTTTAGGGTTTTTTTATTTTTTATTTTTCTTTGAGGGAATTGTAACTGTGATGTGCTAATAAGAAAATGGAGAAAGAGGAGAAAATGAGAGTGTAAAATGGGTTTAGGTTAGGCCGGCTTGAAGGGTTGCAGAGAGCATAAGAAGACGAAGATGCATCACTGCTTCATTGTTTTTTTTTTTTTTTTTTGTTATCATCGTATGAATGAATCAAAATATAAATATTATCAACACATGTTGATGTTGGGTCTGAAAGGGGAGCGTAGTGGATAGGTCGTTTTGTTGTTGCTACTTCTTGCGGGCACTTGGAGGGTCAAATCTCGATGTTTGAGGTTGATATAATGGGGTTTAATTATGCAAAGAACACGTTTTGTGTTCCATAGTTGTTTGCGTGCATGCGTGGGCTAACTAGCCATCATAATGGGCTTGGCAAAAGTTTGCATCATGCGTCAATGATTTTGTGGGGCATTCCTATGGGCTTTGCTAACTTTCCTTTTGATGTAATCCAACTGTGCCATATTCTTAGTTTATGAAAATAAAAATATGTAAATGCATATGTTTCCACTGTATATGTATGTACATAAAGTTATTATTCACAAACTAGTAATATGATAATGTTATTTGCATGATAAATTTAATTTCGAAGATTAATTAATTGTACAACACTTGGTTCAACGATATGTAAAAACTTTTCATCATATTTATAAAAGATAATAAATATATTATTTTATGATTATATTTATCATATATGTAGGTGCCGTTTAAATAGTAAAAGTCTTACCAATTATGAATAATTTTTTCGAATATGTCCGATTTGCCATCATATTTTGTTGTGATCCTTTCTAGTTGGGTATTTTTCCTTGTCCCAATTTTGTTACACTGATAATTTTGTTTAAAATAAAAAAAAATAGAGTTCGATTTTAATCCATTAATAGAGAACTATACTATCGATTGATGATGCATTGGCGTTACTGCGTACTTATCAAGTTTTTTCTATAAACTATTTGAAAATTTTAAATTTTAAATAAAATGTTAAAATAAAGTAAAAGTACATTTTAACGGTTTTTTTCTTTTAAAATTTTATGTTGATAAAAGAAAAATATTTTCTCTAAATTATTTTTTATGTTATTAAATTAATACAATGTTTAATACGTACTTCTTCTCGACGGTTAATTATTTAAATACCATTATCTTATGTGATAAAACGTCATTAGTGTAACGTAAGTCTTAGTTGAAATTAATTCTTCATCTCTATCTAGAACGTTAGAAGAGAAAATTTAGTAACTTTAAAAGTTAAATGAGTGTACTTTAAACTAACTGTTTCAGTACAAGTATATAATTTATTAATCATAATGTACTTTTCATTCAAAATAATTTTACAATTAATTTGATATTTAATAATTAATAGTGTTATTAAACACAATTCTTAATTGGAACGAGTCAAAATTCATTTCATTTTTAAATAACATACCAACAGTTGTTAATTTCTAAACTTTATTGGTAAGTAATTAATTTATTACCATCATAGTTGTTTTCGAATCGTTTTATCAGAAAATTTATTGTTTCGTCTAGTAAAATAATTCAAGATCTAGAAAAATTAAATAAAATGTTATCTCATTATTCTATAAGTCTTGATCCAATAATATTATACGTCAAACTTAAACACTTATTTTAATTAAATTATATTTAGTAAAAAATACTAAAAGTCGTGAGCTTATAACTTTTAATTATAAAGTTAGCAAAAAATTATGAATTTATAATAAAAATTTATTGTTATATAAATAAAAATTGTTTAATAAATTAGTTGCTTTCATTCTTAGGTTTTTTCCTTTCTATTATTGGAGTTTATTCCTTCCATTATTAGGTTTTTTTTTCCTTCCATTGAGCAAACACACCAACTAGAACAAAAGCACAAACATGCATCAGTCACTCACCTCACAACTGCTCTCATTTGGTTTAGTCCTTTATTGTCTCAATATTCTTATAAATTCCTAATAAAAAAACAAAGTAACACAAACATTGAAAAAGTAAAATAACTAAAAATTGATAATTAATAAAACCGTTTGGAAACAAAAATACAAAAAAATAAAGTACTAACTCTTAGGAGGTAAAAGAAGTTGATGTAGAGAAGGTAACTCAACGTCTATTACTATAATAGCAGATTCATGAAAAAAATAAGAAAGCCAACATTTTAAAACTTTAAACCCTCATATGTCACCAAAAGTTGTTAATTGAATTATGCAAGTTCATCCACAACTTCATTTTAGACCTTGACAATCCAAACCTTGAATCTGACATGTATCCTAACCTACCTTATTATCCTTATTCTCCCACGTATTTGAACCCATATACTCAAAATCTTTTAACTTTGGCTTGCACATTTATCCTCACTCCAATGCCTTCTTCATACCACTAAACCCTAAAGGTGAATTCTGCCAAAGAAACCCCCTTTCTCTAAAGGATATTTCCAAGATCCAAGCTTACCTAAAAAGATGCTAGATCGACTCAGGAAATCACCATTTGTCAATACCAACAACATAAAACACCCAATACCAACTCAGAAATGAAATTAGAGAATTAAATTGGAAAGGGTCTACTGATAAGTGACGCGAAATGATATATTGAATAATTAGGACACTTTTAAATTTCTTAGAACGACGACATTTTTGCTAACTGTGCTTTTAATATAGCACTTAACCTGATATATCAACTTTCTGTTATCGTTTGTTAACGTAATCTATGTTTAGGGACTAAGAAAATGACAAAGCTGAAAGTTAAAGATTAACATGATATTTTTTATTTTTTAGAGATTAAAATGTCAAATGCAAACTTTTTCAGGTGTTAAAATGAAGGTTTAGTCTATTAAAATTAGTTATTACTTATGTTATTTATTTATAATAAATTAATTAAATAATTATATAAAAATAAAATTTATTTTCATATATATTTGAACTTAAAATATTTTAAGTTATATATTTTTTAATATAAAATATATACAAATAGAATATATACAAAAATAAATAAAAAATAATAGAGAAAAAATGAAACTATTATAAACATAAATAAAATAAAAGACAATAATATATATATATATATATATATATATATATATATATATAAAGTTTTAATGGTGTAACAAATAAGTTATTTTAAATAATAATAAAAATATTAATAATTAACTTTTCAAAGTTAAACGTTGTTTTAAATAATTAAAATTTACAAATTTTTTTAATTTTATGTTTACCAAGCAACTTTACAAGTTTGTTGATTAAGTCAATGAATTACAAACTCTTATATAAATTACAAACTATTTTACTAAACACAACTTTAATAATTTAAAAAGCTTAACCAATTTAATTGTTAATTTGAAACTTCTTATTTTCTACAAAATTAAAATTAATAACTGCTTTATCTTATTACTTTATTAATAGGTATTTTTAAAATATAAAACAATTAAATTTTAAATAATATATTTATAAATATTGAATTTATTTGAAATTTTAGATATATAACTATGAAAATTATATAAAATGTTTTAACAATTTAATTAATTAATTTTATATTTTATATAAAATTATTAAGTAACATAAATATTTAAGTTTGGTATATAATGTCAACAAATATTACTTTTATTGTATTATTTTTACAAAACTAACCCTTAATAATTTTTTAACATATATGTGATATTAATTAATTTTTCAACAAAATATATTAATTTATTATTTAAATAAAAAATTAAAATTATAAGCACTATTTTAATACACATTATACATCAATATTTTTAATCAATTATTAGTTAGTGTATTAAATTAATGTCATTTTTTATGATTAAATAAAGTGTTTATGGTATATAAATTTTTTTCATATCAAATGTTAAACTTAAATTTTTTTGACAAAATGAATATTTTTATCTTCTAATTTAAAAATTAATTTTAATTCTATCTTTCAATTTTATTTTATTTAAAATATCTAAATATTTTATTTATGTGTATAAATTTATTATTTATATTTATTTTATAATTACAAACATTTTCATTTTAGTTTATACTTACCTAGATAATTGTGTTTTCATTACGGTTAGACAAATAGCCTATATGCAGGGTACCAAACGGAGTTATCAATTGAGTCAAGCGATAAAGGATAAAAAGTAGTGCTTGGGTTTCTATTTATTTGTTTACTGTTGTATGAACAAATCAAACCATTTTAACTAAAATTGCTAAAATTATTACAATTATCAATTGTAAAAAACTAATCTTAAAATAAGTCAATAAATTATATAACATAATTGCAAAATAACTAATAAATTTTAATTATGAAAATAATAAATAACTTAAAACAAATAAAAAACAGTAAATATGAATGAAGATTACATTAAACAATTATGATTGGACGATATGGTTGAAATGACGATATGGTTGAAATGATGATATGGCGCACGCAGACACAGCTAAACATGAAAGTGTGTGTACGTTTTGGTTAAAGCAAATAGCAAAAGCAAACAGCTCCAAAGCAAATAGCAAATTGCAAATTGCAAATTGCAAAGGGAAAGGCAGACAGAAAAAGAGAATGAAAAAGGAAGAAAGAGAAAGATCCTTTTAAGGCCACAAAGAGAGTTTGTGGCTCAAATTGTAGGTAGCTTCTGATGTGGCACTTCTACCTGCTTCACCGGATCAACAACAAAACGCACAACGTGTCACCACCCTTTCTCTCTCTTACACTTTTTCTCTCTCTAACAACTTTTACATTTTTTATTTTTCCCTTTGGAGACAAAAACATAAAAAAAACTTCTTTTTTAGTAACAAAATAAGAGAACGGAAATGTCGGAAGCAAAAGACCCGGCGATCAAGCTCTTCGGGAAGACGATCCCTGTGCCGGAGATCCCGGCCGGATCCGGAGACTCCGCCGGAGCTCCGGCTTCTTCTTCAGGGGATGTTGTTGATGACACTGTTGATCACAACCATGCTTCTTCCACCAACTCTTCCAGGGAGTCATACACCAATAGAGATGCACAAGAGCATGATGCTATTCACAAGGTATGCGAATTTTGGGGTTCTGAAATTATTAATTTTGAGCATGACCCGTTGTTTGGAATGCGAAAAAATTAAATGGGTCGGTGTTGGTTTGGCTTAAGCATTGAAGATTGCGTTGACTTGCCTTTTGGGTTCTATTGTATTGTATTCTGTGTTCTTTAGTTTATATTTGTTCTTTTTAAGGAGTTCAATGTTTAATTGGGGATTTGGGATTAGTTGCAATCTGGAGAAGCATTCAAATTTCTAATTCCCATTTAGTAGTTCGAGTTTTTCCATGTTATCTTTGACTAACTGAAGCTTGATTTTTTATGTGTATATTTGGATCAGTTTGTTTTGTGTTTAGAATGAAAAAGTGAAAGAAGTTTTGTGCATATTTGGATTAGTTCTTCAGTTGTGTGGTTAGTCTGCCACTGCCAGGTTGTGAGATTGCAATATAGATTTAGAATTATTAGAGAAATTAATCTGTTGTTTGCTTTCAGTTCAGCTTTCAAAACCTTGCTTATTTATGTTTTACAACATACATAGGAAAAGGTATAGAAATTAATCTCTCTTTCTTTTTCTATCCTTGTGACGATAAATCATTCATTTGGACAAGATTCTTCTGGTTCATTTCCCTTGTTTTAAGTCGGCATGGTTGTGAAAAACAATGTTTTTCCTTTGACTTGGGAGTTCTGTTCGGGTTTTCCCAAACCCAGAAAGAGAAAATTTAAAACTGTCATAATTGATAACACTATGTTTTTTTTTTTTTTTTTTCAATTTCCTTGTTTGCTCCAACTTCGTGTATATCCATGCTTAGCTTTGCCTTATTTGTAATTGATGTTTTATTTTGTAAAAGGAGAAAATGGGGTTTTGACAGTTGATGTTGCCCTGTGGATTCTAAACAATTGATGTAAAACTGAAGCTTCAGTCATATGAAGTGATATAAAATTTATTGCCAGTACTATGACTATAACTTCCCTGGCGTGTTCATTGTGTAGATCTAATTTGTTTTCTTCTAATGAAGTAGCTTTCCATATAGTGCACTCATTTTTTTTTTGTCATACATTTGTTTTTGAATTTTTTTTCCACTATTAAATAATCTCTGGAATAAGTATGTTTTAAATTTTAATGTTTATTTTGTTTGACTTGGGAAGATATCTTTACATGCAGAAGGCACAACAGATGTAAAACAGTCAATTTATGTTTGAGATATTCTTTTCATAATATAAATATAGAGCTTATAGTAAAATTTAGTGTACAGCATCATACTTAGCAAGGGTTTTCATGAATCCAGGACTCATCGGAAGAAAAACCAACTGATGATAAGAAGGAAGATGGAGCCCCCGCCCAATCATCAGAAGAGTTCACCAATCCAGATACTGCCTCTAGAACCGGCGAAGAATCCATTACCCTATCCACTGAGAGGGAGGCTACAACGTTGAAAACTTCAAAAAGCGAAGAAGAACAGGGTGAGCAGGGTGAGACAAGTAATTCACAGGATAAGAACCTTAAAAAACCAGACAAAATATTGCCTTGTCCTCGCTGTAATAGCATGGACACTAAGTTCTGCTACTACAATAATTACAATGTGAACCAACCGCGCCACTTCTGCAAGAATTGCCAGAGATACTGGACTGCTGGTGGGACAATGAGGAATGTTCCTGTAGGAGCTGGTCGCAGGAAAAACAAGAATTCAACTTCTCACTATCGCCAGATAACTGTTCCTGAAGCAGCACTCCAGAATTCTCGGACCGAGTTGCCAAATGGATCGCATCATCCCTCCTTGAAGTGCAATGGTACAGTCCTCACATTTGGATCCGATGCACCCTTGTGTGAATCAATGGCATCTGTTTTGAACCTTGCTGATAAAAAAGTGCACAATTACACAAGAAATGGATTTCATAAACCTGAAGGACTGAAAATTCCTGTTCCATGTGCAAGTAAAGAAAAAGGGGATGGTCAATCTAATAAATCTTCTGTTACCTCCGCAAAATCAATGGAAGGTGCAAGCACCAATGGATCCCCAGAACAAGCTATGCAGGATTGTCAAAGCTTCCTACCCCAGGTTCCCTACTTTCCCGGGACCCCTTGGCCTTTTCCGTGGAATCCAGTGCAGTGGAGCTCTCCAGTGCCACCGCCTGCATTTTGCCCACCGGGATTTGCCGTGCCACTCTATCCTGCAACAGCTTATTGGGGTTGTGCTGTGTCAGGTGCATGGAACATCCCATGGCTAGCCCAATCATCATCACCAAATGGTGCAACCCCTAACTCTGGCCCTAACTCTCCAACCTTGGGTAAACATTCCAGGGAAGACAACATGCTCAAACCAAACGGCTCAGGTGGTGAGGATGAGCATAGCAAAGAAAATAACAAAGAAAAGTGCCTTTGGGTTCCAAAAACTCTGAGGATTGATGACTCAGGAGAAGCAGCAAAAAGCTCTATATGGACAACACTTGGGATTAAAAATGATAAGGCTGAATCAGTTCCTGGGGGAGGGATCTTTAAAGCGTTCCCTTCTAAACATGAAGAAAAGAACCACTCAATACAAGCCTCACATGTCTTGCAGGCCAATCCAGCCGCGTTGTCGAGGTCACTTAACTTTCATGAGACCTCATAACCATGTAGCTTACAAATTTGTAATTGTCTTTAGGTGCAGCAGACAGATTTGGCAATGTTCAACCATTCCTCAGGAAATCACAAATTGTAAAGCCACATCAGTTCACCAGCCTTGTTTGTAACAATTAGTTCTGTTGTCAGCCAACTGAAGGATGGTTCTTCATGCATTTCCTTCCAAGCTGAAGGAGTATTCTTGTGTTTGCAAAGTATCTTTCTTCCCTTTCTTAGGTGTTTTCTAGGCAGTGTTTTTCACCCTCTTCCCTTTCATTCAGATGGTTTTCTTAGTTGATGTACATATGGCATAGTGAGACACAGTTTGTTTTGCTAGACCTCATGTATATAAATAAGAATGGGAGTTCAAATTGAGCTTTTTGTTCCGGTTTCTTTCTTTCAAAATGTAACCTTAATGTTGTATTTCATGGTTCAGCCGTTTTTTATATAATTTTTTAAAACAATTTTTGGAAAAATATGTTTAAAATATAATAACTTTTTAAATAAGTTGAACCAAACATGTACTTGCACCATTGTGTTCGTTTGACTTTAGAGAACATCCCAGCCATCAAGGGTGAAGGTCCTAATTGTAGCCATCCTTTAAAGCAAAGGCTCAGTGTAATGCTGCAGTATATTTAAGAATTATAAAGAATTTTGATCATTGAATGAGAGATTCATCAATATTTAGAAAATATAAGTGTTATATATAAGTTCACTTAACATAACTAAAAGAAAAAGGAAAAAGATAATATTTGCTTGATTCGTTGGTGTTCATTTAGCATTTAGAGAAAATCCCAAATTACAGTTTGAAAGAGTATTCAAACTCAAGTTTTAGGGGTGGTAACTGAAAGTGACCTCATTTGAGTTAAAAAAATATCTGCAAAGGCATCCTCCATGAAGGGGCATGAATCCTAACCACACAACAAGCTAGAGAGCATTTATTTTTGAGGCCCTATGGAATTGAAGAATCTGTACACAAGAGGGTGGGTCACTCATCTTTCTTCTTTTTCTCTCTAAAGTTTTCCTTATTGTAACTTCTTCAAAATAACATAAAACTTGTTTCACATTTGCTAGGGACCGTTGATTTAGGGTCAACTCTTCCAGTTCTTCCATCTCTTGTTGAGGCAGCTTTTGCCATACAAACAGAATAATTGAATGGAATAAAATATAACATCATGGTTACTTTAGATTTGAGCACCACCATCTTCAATTAGATAAATATCTTACCCTATTTAATATTTGATTGAATCTTTTTAGAAAATGAATAGAACAATACATTTTTCTTTTCATACGTCATTTTATGATAATTATCATTCAACAATTTAAAAAATTGAGTAAATTATATACTCTTCTCCCCATTTATTCTAGAATATACACTTAAGTCTATTTATCTCTTAATATTATTAAAAAAATGTATTATATATATAATTTTAAAAATTTACTAAATTATTCTTCACTGGACATCTTATTTTCATTTGTAGATGTTCTAACCATTTTTAAGCTCACATTTGCTTAAAGACGTAAAACTCGTTTTTCTCACAATTAATGGAACATCTAGTAATTAATATGACAAAATGATCATGTTTAATATTTTGTCTATAAGATGTTGAGTCAAATTTGAATAAATTTTTCAATCAGTAATTATGAAAAAAAAACCAATGATATAAATTTAATAAAACTTTTTATTAACTTATACATCTCAATTAGTTAAAAAAAAAATAAAATTCTTCTTCCAGCTTCTTTAGTAAATACTTCCAAACTTATCACCGAATATATTAAGTGGCTGGAATTGTTCAAACTTCATTTATAATTTTGAGTTTGAATATCAATAAAGTAACTATATTAATTATTTTTAAAAAAAGTTTTTGGTTGTACATAATCTTACAAACTTATCATTCTCTTTGTTAAGTTAGAAACCAATTACTTGTCTCAATTGAAAAACATTCACCGATGGGTTATGCCTTTACTTCTTGAAATTGAGTAACATATGAATATGATACTTCTTGAAGTTGAGTTGCATTTGATACAAATACACTAAGATCCTCTAAGGCTTATGGGGAAACTTCTGTACCTAATGGTTTTGACAGTATTGGTGGCTTTCCTTCTATGTTTTAAGTTATTGTCAACAAAAGTGCATGATTGGTAGTGATATCATGGCTTGAAATTCGTAGTAGTTTGGCTATATTGTTAACTTATGGTGTGCTGAAATGGGAAATTCAAGCTAAGGTTCCATCTATATGTCAACAATACCAGGGTCTTGGCAGTTTGGCGATTGGCACGTTATACATGTAGGTTTTATCTTAATCCATAAATTGTTTTAAAATCTTAAGTCAATTTGACTATATATGTCAATGATGAGCATAAAAAAACACATTAGGTACATCTATAAATAAATTATATTTTACATGAATATCTATATTCTATTAATTGGATGAAGAATCATAGTCATTTTTTTTTCTTTTCTATTGTACAAGTAAATAAAACAATGACGAAATCAACAAAATTTGATATAATTGATAATCAGGATTTAATTCCTATCTCTCTATAGCATAAAGTGAGTGAAAATAATAATATTTATATAGAAAGATAAATTATCATATTCTGAGAAAAAGGCTGTGAATAAAAAAAGAAAGTTTATAGAAAGCGAATCCCACTTCTTTCAAAATGTGAAGGGCATATCCAAAAGCAACCCATTCGTATTTATTAATTATAAATGCTGAAATCTCAGTTGATTTTAATTATTTTAAGAATTCAAGTGACAAATAAAATAACACCAAATCCAAAAGTATTTTGTTTTTCATTTATTTAACGACTGACAAAAGGAACTCAGGCGTAGTACCTTTATATATATATAGTTGGTGGTGCATGTTTCCTTTAGTTAAGTAGTTAATATCATAATTAAGTTGTTGATTAATTAGATTTAATAGCCAGATAATAAAAAAATATTATATAAAATAGTAATTTTTTAATTTACATCATTATAATGCTCGCTAAAAATTAGGTAACAAGCCAAGTGAATGATTTGATAAAAGCACTGAATGAGAAATTAATCGCAATGATTATGAATAATGTTATCACTATATTTAAAATGTTTTTATAATTATTTAATTTTATAAAAACTAAAATAAATTTTATAGGCAATCAAATTAATAAATAAGTATTTTAATTTTTCAAAAAATAATTATAAAAATATATTTTTGGTGTTTCTATATTAAAAACATGTTAAAAAGTGTTTTTTAATATATGTGTAAAGAAATTATTTTTTAAAATTTTTGTTTGTGATAAAATATAATTTAATTCAAATGTTCTTTTTAATTATAATAAATAACTATAAATGAGTATTTTAAAGCAATATCTTATTTGTAATTTTCATGTACTAAAGAAAATCCATTACAATTTTCCTTATCACATGCAATTAATTTTAACATCCCATTAATAAGGAAAAAACATTATGGTGTTATCGGTTATAAATTTTAAGAAAATAAAATAAAACTACAAACATCTTTGTAGAGATAAAAAAAACTATTCTTTGAATATAATTTTTCAATCTTTAGATAATTTTTTTTCTAAATCAAAAATATATTTTATAAAAAAAATTAAACTCGAGAAAATAAAATTATTATAACCAACAATTTGTTTTCTTAAATCATGTAACGAAGCTCGTACGAAGCACTCAAAGTTGAAGTTATTAATTAATTTAAAATAACTTTACACCACTTAATTTATGTATTTAATGAAAAATTTTAGACAACTTAATGATTGAAATAATTTTTATATGCATTAAAATTTGTTAAAATATAAAAGGTTGAATTTTAAAAATAAAAATAAGTATTTTTCTACAAGGAAACCATGTAAATTACAGAAGAGCGTAATTTCGTCCATCTAATTATAATCTCCTTATTTTTTTCAAATATTATGAAAAATAATTATAAATATTTTTATAATAATAAATAATTATAAAAATTTAAAAATATTTTTTATATATTTATTAATACTTATTTGAAAAAAATTATTAAAAAGCACGTGTAAGAGAATACGACAAAATTCGTCTTAATGTATTTTAAATAAGATTTTGATGTTAAAAACTGAAAAGATGCTAATGCGAAGAACACAAGAAAAGGCTGTGATAAGTGGGCACCGAACCGAAAACTGAGGAAAGCACTTTCGTAAATTTCGTTGGATCTGAGCCAAAGCCAAAGTCGGTTCCGAATAATATTAATGCCTTCAGAATCTAACGCTTATTATATATAAACTCTACTGTTCCACAAACTCATTTTTTCACTCTCTCTTTCTTCCTTCTCATACCATAATCAACACATTCCGATTCACCAATTCCTTCCATACCCATCTCCCAAAGGTTCCAAAAAATAATGGGTCACTCACGTTTTCTTGCTCTGCTTCTTGTTTCATCCCTACTCTTTCTCTCTTTTGGTTATGGTATGATACCTCTCACTCTTTAATCACCATTGTCCATTGTCATAAGGATTGATGCTGTTTATTTTATGTGTTCAGTTTTTTCATTCCTCGTTGTGATGATGTTTTTATTTTTGTTAATTTTAAGGATTCGCCAGGGTGGCACTGACCGATGAAGAGGATGTAGAGACTACTTCTCTGGTTAGTTTGTTGCTTTGTTGTGTTTTTTTAATTGACTCAATTTAGTTCTTAAAAAAGTCACTAAATAGTTCTTTAAGAGTATAAATATGAGATATTTTAATCTTTTCCTCCGTTTGAATAAAAAACAAAGTGTCCCATTTTTATAATTTTTAGGGGGTATAATGTATTTTTCAGGGACTAATTTGAGTATTCATTCAAAAACTAAAACAAATTGCATTTTTTTTCCTTTCCTAAGTTTTGGGCTCATGGAGAAAATTAACTAGGAACCTTTTTTCTTCTTCTTCAGGATTTTCCCATAAAAACAATGTTTCCGGTAAAGTTTGAGACTATGGATTATGCTGATCCAGAGCCAAATATCAATCCCAAAAACGGGTATATTTTTAGCCCTCCTTCACCCACACCTACTCCTCCTCCAAGTGCTTAAATGGAAGAACAAGATTAGATTTTTACAGTGGTTTGTGTCTTTCTGGTTGGTTTTATATGTGGGATGTATAATCACATTCAACTTGACTCAGGATTCATAGGATTAGGATTATGATAATTGTATTGCTGTTAGTTTATTTCGTTTAATTTTTTTGTACTTTCAGAATGCAAATTACGAGTTACGTACGCCAATAAATGTTTTTATTTTACACATTTTCTCACTTTGCATGAGTTTTAACATTTTTTTCTCACACTTCATATAGTATCCACATAATATTATAGGAGAACGGAATAGTAGTGATTCATATTATTAAGCTAGTTGGTTTAGCTTCAATTCTCAAAATTGAAATTAATTTTGTGTTTTCAGTGCATGGTAATTAGAACCAACATATAAATATTGAGTCATCGGTAAATGAATGGAAAGTGTTGTTTGCAGATTGCTGCATGGATCAACTATGAGTTCTTGACTACTTTTTATGTATAATAAAATGAGACACATGGACCCTTTCTTCCATGAACTATCTGACTGACCACATATGTAAAAATTAATATTTGACTTACAAGATTGCCTCCATCGATGCATCATTCACCTAGTTTTAAGTTAAGCAAAGTGTTTTTAATTATCTTCACGTGCAATCTGATAAAAATTTATACTATATATTTTAATAGTTTTACATAAAAATTATAGTTTTAAGTTAAGCTAAGCAAAGTGTTCAACTAAGTTTTTTTTTTCAATTGCATCTTAAATCCACAATAAGTTTTAAAATAATTTAGTAAAATTTAAAACGAATGAACATTGGTTGAAGTGGATGGAAAAACAATTTGTAGGACTCATGGGATTGAAGTGGATTGAATAACTTTCTGTTGTTCCCACTGCCCAATTTTCAATTAATGTTCATTGAATTGAATGCTTAATTAATAGGAAAACGGTTGATGAGTTATTCACTTATTAATTAACCATTTAAGTTTTCATTACTCATTAGTGGATTGGACCAGTTGATGACCAACTCTGTGTGTATATTCAATTCCTATTTTCTCTCGAAGATTTTTATTTTCCTATTTCTCTTTCGATTTTAGATAACTTGAGTTAAATTTTATTATTATTAATTACTTAAATTAATCTTCCAAAACCGATCTTTTTTTTATATTGTTCAGTTGAATAATTATTACCAACGAGGCTTTTAATTACCATCTCTTTTATTTGTAAGTTTTTTTAAATTAATATCCTTTATATATTAATTTAATGTGTCTTTTATGTCATTTTTATTTATGATAAATGTATAAAATGTAACCTTATTTTTAAAAATATGTACAAATTTATGATCTTGAGTACAAATATCCTCCACTAAAAATAATATTGAATTGAAATAATATATAAATTTATAAGTATAATTGATATTTTTATTTAAATTAAAATTATTTTCAACTTATAATATTTATCATTATTATTCTTTCTCTTTCATTTATAATAAGTGTTTAAAATATTTAAGAATCAAGTTTAAATAAAAAGAATACCAAAAGTAATAATAATTAAGATTGTTTTGATCTCTTAAAGGAACAAACACACATGAATTTATTTTTAGAAACATATATATATATACTTTTAAAAAAATATTAATTCTACGAATTATTACGATAAGCTGATCTTCTTAGACAAAAATACTTTTATTAAAACAAGAAAAATGTTAACATGAATTTTAAAGATGATTTTAAATATTGAAAAGTAATAATATTTTACTGAAGAATAAAATATTTGTGATATATTTATATTTATTAATATTATTTTAAATTAAAAAATGAAAAAATTCAAATAAAATGAAAGAAAAGTAATGAAAATAAGTCTCATTTACTTCTTTTTCAAATAATTGTCAATTACCAATAAAATATTTTTTGTTTTATAGTATCAATAAATATTTATTATTATTTTTCAATCTTATCTTTATCACTTTATACAAATTAATGTCGCATAATGTTTATGTTATATTTAAATTAATTATTGAATAAATTTTTTGATAAATTGTTTAATTTAAATAATTAAAAGACGAAAAGTACAATTAAGACAAACCTTTTATGATAATATTAGAACTAATGTATTCTTAACCTTGAAAGGAAGCAGCATAGGAGGAGTAGCAGTGAGAAAGAACCCTAAGATCGAAGTTGGAAAGGGTGAGAGAAGAATGTCTAGTGTCAAGAGAGCACTGAGACAATTCACGTTCGGCGCCGGCAAGACCGCCGGCCGGAACTCGTCGGGGCGCATAACGTCTTTTCACAGAGGCGGCGGAGCGAAGCGATTGCAACGAACCGTCGATCTCAAACGGAACGCCGCTTCTTCTATCGGTGTCGTCGAAAGGATCGAGTACGACCCTAACCGTTCCTCCAACATCGCTCTCGTTCGCTGGCTCCACGGCGTTCACCATCCCCAACGCCGCACCTCCTCCGCCGCTGCTGCCGCTGCTGCGCCCAGGGTTCTCCAACTCGATCCTGCCGCCGCTGCTAACAGCAACAGCATTCGCGGCGTGTTCGCGTTCAATTCGATGCTTCCGCCCGTTGGAACAACCTCCAGGGACGTTTTCTTCTCTGCGTTTTCATCGGAGGCTAAGCGACCTGAATCTGAAAGGGAATCGGTTTCTTCGTTGGGTTTGCCGAGGATTGCGGTCGCGGCGGCGAGGCCAGCGTTCTTCGCACCGCGGGAGAGAGGGGAAGAAACGTTGCAGGTTCGGAATTGGAGAAGGAATAGCGATGCGTGGGTGCATAGGAACAAACGTAAAGCGGCGATTTCCTGGCACAGCATCGGGCGTTGAGTTTGATGCGGTTGGTTCTTGTAAAACTAAACATATCACTTTTATTTTTAATTTTATTTTTGGCAGCTTAATTGTTGCTTGATTTTGTTTCTCCGAATGTTGAGGCATATGGAATGGACTGGTGATGATGTTTGGGTTATTTGCTCTGACCTTGATTAGAGTTTAGACATGTTTGCTCCAACTTCCGTATGTTGGCAATTCTCTAACCTTAATTATAATGCAGTTGACCTTAATTTGTTCAGCATGTCTAAATTCTGCATATCGAACCATTTTGAACATACGATAATTGTCTCTTTATTTCCTTTTGGTTGAGGATTAATTAGATTATAATTAAAATATATTGCAAGCACTTATCTTAAAAATGCAGTGCACTAAACTGAGTGCCATTACATGACATGAGTTAGTGCCCATTAAAATGGAATTAATCCTGTACATTAAAATGGATATCAGCAACCAGAAGAATGAAAAAAAGAAGAAGAAAAGTAAAAAAGAGCTGTGAGTTAAGAAACCTTAAACTTACCAATCCACAAAGTAGTTGTCAAGAATTTGAACTTTTACAGGTAAAGTTTTAGAAGCAGCTCCACAAATGACATGTCAAACAAATAAAGACATATTTAATTGTTTCAGAGAAAAGATTGATCGAGTGCAAATCTAATTAATAAACAGTACATATTTAAAGATGATGTTTTTAGCATATTGTATGATCAATACATTTTTATCACCGACGCTAGTGTATATGTTTCAAAAGTTTCCCTATTTTTATTCAAAGCCACTTTAATAATTATAGTAATGTAATTCACACTTTCAAGGGTGTTTATCCTAGATGTGTCCATTTCACTCCCAGACCAAAAATACATCTACAAATTTGCCCACTTTGAATTAGCAGCATTGATATTGTGGGATACAAGTCCAACAAAAGGAGCTGGAATATAAAAACTATCAGAACAGTTGTGTTGCATTAGCTATTTTAAAATTATTTTTTAGTTAAAAACATTATGCGTGAAGAGAATGAATAATTGCATCACGTCATATGCAGATAAATATTATCCCAAATAATGACAAACGTAGTTTTAATATAAATATTTTGATATTGAGTCATAATTTCGAAGACAAGTGTTTCAGTGATGTAAAAGAAAATTATCAATTCTAAATTTTAACAATCAAAGTTGCAGCAGCTGTAGGATTATCTAAACTTCAGTAAGGTTCGAATAGTTTTGAGACCAAGGAATTCCAGTAGTTCAAACAAAACCTTAAAAATCATAAATTGCAATATCTTAGGAAGGTAGAAAATCACTATCTTACATTTGACAATTTATCACTTTTTAAGTGAATTTTAAATCATCTCCTATTTATCACTCTTTTAAAGCGCATTTATTCTATTTGGACCTCTATTAAGTTTATCATCTTTATAAGAGATTGATTTATTTTAGCTTCAGTTTTTCCATCAAATTTAATTTCCTTCAAATTCTGTGTCATTTTAACCTTGGTATATATTTTTTGTCATGTTATATATTGGACCGTGTCTACAGAGGTGATTTTTTCAATTTTATGACTATATATCAGCAAATCAATTGAGACTTGCAATTTTGGTAATTTAATTCACACTTTTGAAATTAATTTAAAAATCCGTTTGGATGCTTTATATGCAGAAATTATTAGCTATTTACTCATTCCTTTGAGTTTCAGTTGAGAGCTTGAGGAATGCTTCATTGAAGCTGGCCTTGCTTGGTTTCAAGTTTCAGCTCGGTCAAGAGCAGAGCTTTCTTATCATTAAGATTTCATTCAGAAATGAAAAATTAACTACTTTTATGAATAAACTAACAAAAGTTGATGACATACACACAATTAGATAACCTATCTATCTATATATACAACCTAAGCATCTTTTCATTTCTTCCGCAAGTTGAGCTCGCAAGATCTCCTTACAGTGCCAAACAGAAGTAGTTTAATACAAGATTCAATGTTTTCTCCAAGTTTTTTAAGCGTAGCACCAAGTTCAATTTCACCCAGTATAATTGCGTTGAATTCTGTTGTTATTTTCACTTTGTAGTAATTTGGAACAGCTAATAAGAATGTTACCTACATTACCTTAAAAAATAAGTCATAAGCAACAGCTTTGCCAATGTCACGAACTTCAGTATATCTACTCGTGAGGTCTGTAACAAAATCTTTCGATTGATGAAGATGCAGTTGTAGAACCGCCAAAGGGAGACGACCATAGAGCAGAACATCTTTAACCATAGTCTTCTGGTCCAGATTATCTACCAGCGTGCCATCGTCGCTCTTGGTTTTTCCATAGCCAAAACTTTCTTTTCTAAAACCCCTCTTTAGTCTTAATGAGGTTAAATGAGACCAAGTGAGACTCATAATAAACAGGCACCAGCGCTAGATTTTCATTATTGTTGCTGCCTGATGCTGGAAGAGGAAAAGAAAGCTCACATTGGTTCGAAACATCCCATGACTCCAAATCTAATCGAAGAATTGAAAGTTGGGATTCTTCTTGCAACATTTCTATACTCATTAAAGATTAATACACCAAAACAAAATACCCCTGGAAGTGTTATTAAGGTAACCAACTCATCTGAAATTACTCCATTAGTATGTCATGTATGACTTTCTCTAAGCATTATTTCTTTCAAATATCAAGTTACAACGCTCTTAAACTTCAACAATTTAGTTTTCATTATTATAATATGTTGATGCCACCAAAAATGACAATGGTTAGGAGCTGATAATGTAATCTTGTTAGTTTAAAGATTATATTTAATCGAGTACATTTTTCTTTCAATTTCGAGTTTTTTCTTGTTGATTATCTTATGAGTAAGCTAAATATCTTTTTTTAAGAAAATGCAAGATTTGTAATTTGTTCTATAAAAATCTTATGCTGTCAAATATTCTCAGTTCTAATTGTTTTTGCAGTATGTATTGAGTTGTTTCATCTAATACTACTGAAATAGTAGAAGTATTAAAATTTAATATGTATTGAATAAAACATTACTCGATTTTATTTAAAGAAAAAAGGAACTGAATATCCCTTAATTAAGATAAGTTGAATACCCTCTCGGTCAGGATTAAAGATAATTAACCCAATCAAGAGAGATAATTAAATTATTATCTACTCTAATTAAAAGACTAAGACTAAGGCTGACTTAGCAAGTCTATTAGCTCATAATATTTTCTATAAAAGGAAGGTAAGAGGTGCAAGTAAAGAGTTAACTTTTGAATATTTAATAGTATTTAATGCTCAGAATCGAGACCTGACTTTAGCATCGGAGTACCTTTTGCAAGTACTCTCCCCACATCAATAACATACGAAAGGACGTCATCCTATCCAGGTAAAAATCAGAAAATTAGTGTTTCTCTAATAAGAACACAATATTTTTTTCATCACATCTTACCATATCTCATGCTATCTTCTACAGTTAGTTTCGTATTTCCTCATTATTTCTTAAGATTAAATACCATATTTCCTTATCATGATTCATTTCCTTAATTAGTTAAGATCATAATATTGCTTGTGGTTACAATGTTTTGATCTTGTGACTAGTCTTTGAAAATATCCACACATTATACAAACAACAATACATAAAACAACGATAACTGAAAAGTATTCAGTTTAGCAAGTCCAGTGGACACTGTCAAAATCAACCAGATGGCAAGCAAGAGACGTGAGATTGAGGATATTTAGGAATGAGGAATATGGATTCAATTTCTTCAGCTTGTCATTTAGGATTAGTTGTGCGCTAAGGCTCTTCTGATTTGCTACCTTCACCATTCATATCCTTCTTCTTTTTCTATTTTTATCCTTTTAAATATCAACTGATCGTTAAGACGTAAAAATAAAACTGAATCAAGCTGCTATTTTAAAACTGCCAGCCTGAAGATGTGTAATTATTAAAAGTAAAACTAAGTATTTTAATATAAAAAAACTAATTTATCATTGCACATAATAACTGATATTTTAATGAATAATAATAAGTATAAGTATAAGTAAAAGCCGAATTAACAAATAAATTAATTAAAAATGCATGGATCAGCTTTACTTTCCGTAGGAATTAAAATTTCATGTTTTTGAAATATCGAAATTGATATAAAAGATTAGACTCGTACTTTGCTCAGTCCATATTATAAACTTATCTTAAAAAAACTCAGGAAATTTTTAAAAGTGATTTGACAAAGATAATGAATGACACATAAAGTAACAACGAAATTCTATAACTATAACCCGACATAAAAATCCACACACATATATTTCATGTTTTAGCCCCAATTCTATTTTGTAAACCTCAATAATAAATATGAAAAATTATTTTTATTGATATTTTTCAAATACTTTACTAAACGAATCTGTCATAGCCAAATTAGCCATAAAAAAGCATATACAGTCCATCCAAAACATTAACTTCAACGACAATAATATTTAAATTAAAATATGAAAACAAGTTTTTATTAATAAAAAATATAAAAATAAGTACATCATTTATAAAATAAATTATTTACATATTAGTCAATACAAGCTACAAAATTATTTTAACAAATATAATTTTTTAAAACTTCAAGGATAATAAGAAATATTATCAGGGTGTGGGTATTTTTTATTTTATTTATTAGTTTTATTCTAATATTTTATATTTATGTTCAATTTAATTATTATAAATTTTTAATCATCGTATACTTTACACAAAAAATACTTAATAAATGATAACATACTTTAATAAGAAAAAATAATAATAAGCAAGTAAGAGGATCAGCACTTCTGAATAGAAATATATTAACAATGCATGTAAGTTAAACACTATAATAATAATAATAATAATAATATTACAGATAAAATTACAAATAGTAGTTTTATGATTTTATAAAAAATATTTTTTAATTTTATCTAGTTTCTCTGATATTAAAAAAACAAACATAAAGAATAAAATAAAATACTACCTCATACAATTTTATTTTATTATATTTCACCAATCCCACTTTTGAAGAAATGAAAAATTTGCACTGTATGTCTCCGAACTTGACATTTGAGTTTCCTGGAAATTGGGTTTCCCACAAAAGACGGTTCCAATGCCAACGTAGAAGAAACGATGGAATTTTAGCCACGATTGACAAGACCGATCTTGAGACAACGTTTACCACTCTTTTCCTCTCATATTATATATTATTTACTACTAATATATATTTTTTCAAAAATATTTAATTTTACAAAACACAATTATAAATAAATTGATTAGATCGGTGTTCGAATTAAAAAATAATAATAAATATTGTTTTTATTAAAAATTATATTAAAATGAGAATTAGTGTGTTTTTCATTTTTTAAATAAAATATATTTTTTAATCAGAGTTTTAAAAGCATTTATTAAAGTTTTTTTATATAATAATAATAATCAATTGATAAAATTTAAATATTTAGCATGAAACACGTAAAATAAGAAGGTTTACATGGTCCTGAGGTCTTCGTACTTTCCTTTCGTCTTCTCCCAAAATTCTCTTACCTTTTGAAATATACAAAGTAAAAGCACACATTTCACAGAAGCTGCTTGCCATAAATTAGTTTCCATAGGAAGAATCTTCAACGAAAGGTGTTTAACGTTGAAGCAACTAGCCATAGACCATGCATTGCGTGAGCCTCTGAAACATTCATTAAATAACTTTTTCTTTGTGAAAAATACACAGTGAATGGGAAGGGTATGTGAAATAGTAATTGAAGAGAAGGTCACAACTCACAAGCAGTGGAGGACCTAGAACTTATTAAAATCATTAATAAATTAGTTAAAGATTTTTTTTTTATTTTTCTTAAAAAATAATTTATTGTGTCTGATAAAAAAATAATGTTAATAAAAAGATTCCCATAATTAGTAATTGGATTTTATTTTTGGTCTAGACATTATTAGTTCGATATGTTATATTGAATTTATTTTAAAACTATAACAAATAAATTGTTACACTAAAAAACTTGAGAACTTAATGACATATTTTTAAAAGAATGTGTAGACTAAAATAATATTATTTTCTTGCTTACCAACAACTAATTTAATAAACTACTCTTTATCTATATAATTAAACTTGAAATTTCACTATTTTGTATTTAAGTTCGAGGTTGAATATGCATGTATAAGACAAAGACACTGCTCTCAAATAAACAATAAATGTAATAAAAGGATATTGGCACCCCTCAACATCAACTTAGCTCCACCCCTGCGCGCCCACAAAGGTGTTTGTGGAAACTATTAAAATTGAACATTAACATACGATAAAATGACCTATAATAAATAAAAAAAATACATAAAAACCACTGAGGAGAGTTTATAAAATTCAATATAGTGACGTAATTCAGTTGGCAAATTTGCAGGACCCAGTAGCCGAAATGAAAATTTCACACTATGACACCAAAACAACAACCACAATAAAAATAACAATAATAATAATATAATACTTTTATTAGCAAAATTTATATATGAATCATACTTTAAAGTAAAAAAAAGTAAATATATAATATTCTTTTTTTAATTATTTATTCATAAAACAAACTTTATTTTTATTCATTTATTTATATAAAAATTTAAAAGAATATTAATAATTATTTTTTACTAATATCTCTTTGACAATATCTAAAATTTAACATTTTAAGTATTATAAAAAAAAATTCTGAAGTTAAATAAAAAATTACTAATAAAAGATAAATTAAAAATAGTTATAAAATATTTTGACAAAATAATTGAATTATTTAGTTATATATATATATATATATATATATAATATTAACATCAATTCTGAGTTTAAGTAACTGATCATGATAAAATTTATTAAAAAATATTGATTATATTTTTATAATTTTAATATTATAATTTTTTAAAATAAAAACTTGTTATTTTCAAATGCTTAAATTTAATAAAATTATTTTAAAATAAATAAGTAAAAATAAAGCTAATATATTATTGTAAGAGCATTGCATCTGGTAAGTGGAAATATGATACATACCATAATGCTAGGCAACCTAATACTCAGTTTCTTCTTGGAAACTACTGCAAGATTTGTCTGTTCCCATTTTCCTTTGACAATTAAGTCTTGGAGGAAATATAATATTTAAAGTAGACAAAATCAAACACAAAAAGACAGAAAAAGCAGGCCAGCCTGACATACCTCTATTTCAAAAGACCACATCCACCCTATAGAAACTCCATATATTGTGGAATATAGGGAACAAGAAATTTCCTTGGATGCTGACAAAGTTTTATTCTACCATTTTTCCTTTGCACCATCTTTCAATGAACTTGTCAAGCACCTTCCTTCAACTTTCAAAGCTGACCATCCTGGCTGCTTCAATGTTCCAAATTTCTGAATTATATAACAAACCCTTCACCACCCTTCAAAACATATTAACATTTCTCATCTTCGAAGGCTAAATAACAACTTAACAATTTGAACCCTCACACAAGGGATCAAGCAATTCTACCTCTTCATCTTCTATATTTCAACATGTGTGCAGCCATGGTTCTTAATCTTAGGCAATTTGACTACCTTATTGAAGAGCAGAAGACATCAAAGAATGATAACAACTCAACTTTTCCCTTGTTTGGTTTTGTAGACCTTTCATTGTACTGTACATTTTTCAACAAAATCCACAAGTTTTTCTTAGGTTTGTGGCTTTTCCTTCTGTGCCAACTTCATTCTTGTAAGTTAAATGTAAAGGGTCAGGAGCAGATTTCAAAATCTGAGTTTAGCCACAAAGAGAACGAGTCAAATGGTAGCATAGATGATGGAAAGCTTGAGAGGGATGAAGTCAAAATTTTGATGGCAAAACTGGGATTTTTTTGCAGCTCAGAAAGTGAGGAACTTGAGGAAAATTATGGTTCCAAGGAGCTTTCTGAACTGTTTGAGGAGCAGGAGCCAAGCCTGGATGAGGTGAAGCAGGCTTTTGATGTTTTTGATGAGAACAAAGATGGGTTTATTGTTGCATGGGAATTGCAGAGAGTTCTCAGTATTTTGGGATTGAAGGAAGCAGCACAACTAGAGAACTGCCAGAAGATGATCAAGAACTTTGATGAAAATCAAGATGGAAGAATTGATTTCAGTGAATTTGTAAAAATTATGGAAAATCACTTCTGCTGATTTGTTTGTTCTCGTTTTTAGGGACTTAGTATAATATGAGTTAGTTTGATATATTCCTTGAGCTCTTGCTTCTTCATAATTGTATTATCTATATCAGAATCCAACATGTTGAAAAATAAGATCAATGGAAAATCGTAATTGTCGCCAGCCCTAATAAACTCTGATTGCAATGCTTTTTGTGAGCTAAAATTCATGAAAAATAACAATATATATATACACACACGTAAAAATTAAGAAAATACGGAAGAAATATAGAGAGAATGTACTTTAAGATGAACATACAAATTTCTTGTAAAAGTCAATTTTTCTCATAAAACTCTGAACAGAAGAATCAAAGTTCTCTATTTTTGTAATCCCTTCGAATCCGGCTTAAGACTTTAAGAGAACTGTCAACGATTCCAGGTAAAGACAAATATTTTATTGCCTCCGGATGCAAAAAATGGTATTATACAATTGTACATATATTTTTCCTTGGATGTCTAATACCCAATATAGTACTACTTTGGAAGATTTGGAGGAACAAAAACCAAAAGGGTTCTGATTATTGTGTTCTCTGTTTATCTGACTACCTAGATCTAAGCATCCACGTCTGGTAAGAATAAAAGATAAAAAAATATACTAAAAGTTTTGTACTAAAAGGAATTTTTTTTGTTAATTATACAAAAAATATATCTTGCATTGATTTTCTCATTATAATCCTAGACTATGATTGTCAACATAACAAAATACAAGAGCACAAAAAGGAGGAGGTTTAAAAAGAACTTGAACACGTTACAAATTTCACCCACCTCAACTACTTGAGTCACGTAATTGACAAGCAATCAACAAAGCTACATCATCTCCTGTATTGAACGGTTGCATAAATATATGTTTTACAGAAGGTTCCCTTCGAGGAAGCTAGGTGGGACTGAGTTACAAGATTTGCAGTTGTTTTAATATAATAAATTATATAAGTTTCAAATGTTGGTTCCTATAATCATTCTAAATCTATTTAAAGGGCAATTTCATCTCCGGTTCCTTTAATAATCCAATATGAATTTGTCACCTCGAAAGTAGCTAATTGTCACACAAACTATCAGTACTATGAAACTGGAATTAATTTCAAGAAACTCGTGACCCACATGAAGTCCCAGGTAAATTTCTTGGCCTCTTTTGATTGCCGGGATCATCTGGTTTCATCATCGAAGGCCACACTGCAAGCTCTTACAATTTTGAGATTGCCATACATAATGTAAACCCAACCAAATTCCCCAAAAAACGATTGGTCTAGCTTGATTAGAATTGATTCCGTGAAACTCTTTGCATCATCCAATCAACCAGCATCACCATGCCGTTAACATCGTTCTAGCACTGGAATAAAACTATTAATGTTGACCATGAAATTACTCCACTCAAATCCATGATCAACCTGTTCAGTTGGATGGAATTACACACTCAGCTCTATCAGTATCTGGTAAAAATTGCCAAAACCAAGATATAAAAAGGAAAAACATTCAAGCAACTACTTTTGCAACTCTTCAACATTGGATAATCATTAAAAAAGAAAACAAACGGTTGAAAAGTGAAATACTTGTCGAAATAAGCTGGATTGTAAATTAAGCAGTCACTGAAAGAGTGAATTTCTTGTATACAAACGAATTTTCCTTGCATTCAAACCAAAGAAAATATTATGGTTTTCTAAAGCATAATTCTTACTTTGCAAAAGAAGAAGGATAACAGTAAGCCATTTATTTAGGTATTGTAATCGACTGACTAACCCTATATTAATTCAGCATTGGCTGTTCATAATCTTGACAACCTATCCTTTTACAAATGCAGTGTCATGTAATGAAACAACCTAAAATAATATACATGCATACTTTAAATTTTTTCAAGCAGTGCAGTTGCTTTTTGTTCCAATTAAGTGTGAAATAAAAGATCAGAAATTTAATGGAAAATAATTCCTGTGGTTCCAGAGGAGAGGAGAGTTAGTTATAATAACAAAATCTCGGCATCCAGTCCCATGAGACAGAGAAAACGACGACCACCATAAGCTAGCTGAAGTTCAACACTAAATCTCTAAAGGAAATTATGCATAATTTGAATTGGTTAAAATCCCTTTTTGTAAGTGATATAAATACATGCATCATTATACCGTTTATAAGGACCAAAGCTAACCAGACAGAACTATCAATGGAATTCCCGTCAAACCTCTCCCAAATCTCATCAAGTATTAAGTTACATATACAAAAGAAAAGAACAAACAAATTGTTTGAAAAACTGTGGACAAAACTGGTGCTTCGCTGTCAACCATTTCAGAGTCCATTCCTCTTGAGTCTAACATTGAACGATACAAGTTTTTTATATGAGCAATGATTATTTAGGCCAAACACACATGGAATTGATTTTAAGAATCTCAGACCACGGAAGGTCGCTTAAGATTTGAATAGATGCTATCCATGTTGAAAGGAAATTCTAAGATGATGCTTGGCATCCTTAAGCTGCATTGTATGCTAATATGGTGTAGAACCAACAATGTTCACTACAAACAACCATGACTTCTGAAGTTTATTAAAATGCTACCAGTGGTCTGCACAAGTACAGGACCCATCTTGAAAATGATGAAATCGGTTAGCATCTCTAACAATTATCAGCCTATTTGTGGCCTTCGATATTAGTTTTACAGCAGTGTGGCAATCATCACACATTCGAAGGTTTTTTATGATCCGGATGGGTGCTGGTGAAGGTATTTTCATGAGGCCATATGCTGTGGCTAGCTTCTCACTGTGATAACTGAGATAACCTTCCTTCTGTTCATCTTCCACATCATGAAGTACAGCAGCAATATTTGGCACATATCCTAATGGTTTAATCATTGCCAACAATTGTCGAACTTTCTTGTAAATTTGAATAGACTCTGGATGATTACTGTCTTCTGAAAGAAAAACATGGATTACATTTCTTATCTCCAGCCAACTTACTCCTGGTTCCTTCTTAATGTTTCTTTCCCTCATCTGTTTCCTAATTGTCACAACTCTATCCCACCTTTTTGCTTTGGCATACATATTTGATAGCAATGTGTATGTTCCCACATCATGTGGGTCCATCTTTAAGACATATTCCGCAATTCGTCTTCCCAAACCATAATTTCGATGAACATGGCAAGAATTAAGCAAAGTTCGCCAGGCAACAACATCCCACATCACCTGAGTTGTCCTCATGAAGTTCTCTGCTTCATCAAGCAAACCAACCCTGCTCAAAAGCGCAACCATACAGGTGTAATGCTCCAATCCTGGCTCAATCTTAAAACTTTTCATCAGCTGATTCAAATGGTAAAACCCTTCTTGTACAAGACCCAAATGAGCACAAGCAGAAAGAACCCCGATAAAGGTTACATAGTTTGGGCATTCTCCAGCAGATAACATGTCTTGGAACACTAGTAAAGCTTGTTTACCAAGCCCATGGTGGGAATATGCACATATCATAGCATTCCAAGTGATAACATCTCGATATATCATATCTGAGAACACATCATATGAAGAATCAATGCTGCCACTCTTGGAATACATATTAATCAAAGCATTCCCGACAATAACATGATTCTTAAAGCCTAACTTCTCAACCCTGGCATGTAATAGATCACCATGTTTCAGTGCTGCTATACCCGCACATGCATTAAACAAAACTGCGACAGTATACTCGTTTGGCAGAGTATCATCTCCATCCATACAAGCAAACAGATTCAAAGTCTCCTCAAAATATCCATTTTGCAAGTAAGCAGTCATGAGGGCTGTCCACACCACTACATTCCTTTCATGCAAGCCATCAAAAACTTTCCTTGCATTTAAAACTTCACCACATTTCCCATACATGTCTATCAACATGCTAGCAACAAACATATCAAACATCAAACCACGCCTTAATACCCGGGCATGGACTCGCAAACCCAACTGTAAATCTCTAATCTGAGCACAAAGCCCCATGACACTGACATATGTAACATTATCCCACACCACGCATTCATCCACCATCCTTTCCAAAACTTTCAAAGCCTCTTCCCCACGATCAGACTCCACAAGTACATTCAACACAGAATTATAAGCAAAGACATCATTATCACACCGACTAGGCACTGTATCCAAAACCTGCAATCCTAAGTCCACATGGGAACACCTTGAGTACATGTGAACAAGAGCACTCCTCACATACTCATGAGACACCAAACCAAATTTGAACAAAAGCCCATGACACTGCATCCCATCTTTCAGTCTCCCACTATGAGAACAAGCAGAAAGAACAGTGGTGAACACATACTCATTGGGGCATGCATTTTGCAATGAAACCAAGTTCTTGAAGAGCACAAGGACTTGCAAGTGGTCCCCACCATGCAGATACCCAGCCATCAAAGCATTCCAAGAAACAACATTTCTTTGGGGCATTGCATCAAACAGTGTTCGAGCATGACCCAGTTGGCCACACTTGACATAGAGGTGAATGAGGGTGTTGAGGTGAGTGGGGTTTGAAGTTTGGTTGCGAATGAGAAACTGGGCATGAATGGCTTTGCCAAAAGCTAATCTTTTGGCATCAGAAGCGAGTTTCAAAAGCTTAACAAGGTCTTCAAGGGATGGCCGATACCTTGAATATATACCCACCATTGGAAAGTGCTCATTCTATTACCAAAATCAGCATACACAGTCCATGTTGTTGTTGCATTGCATGACATGACATGTCCCTAGTTCTGTGATTCCTTCTTACGTTGTGTTCGTACCCTTTTATCCCTTGGACAATTAAACCTATATTTTTTCAATATTATTATATTTATATAATTTAGTATAACTATAAAGTGATAAATTACATCATCGTTATATTTTATATTATAAAAATAAATAGTAATTAATCGGTTAGTTCAGCTTTTAGGTCCCTTTCGGGTGTTTTTGGAGTGTCATTCTAGAATCTAAAATCCCAAATTCCCACCATAGTTCAGACCAAACAAGCACTGGTCACGGCCAATTACGGGTATATTGTTTTATGCTCTGCTTTTTAGACAATTTTTTAACCATTTCTAATTTTTCACACACACACACACACTATTGAACTCTTTTGAAAATTATAGTTTGATTAGAAAATTAATGGTTTCACAACTTTTTTTTTTTTTTGCTATTTAACGGTTTCACAACTTTATAGTTTGTTATTGGTACTTATTTTATAACAAATTCAACCATTGATTAAAATCAACGACTACCCTGTATAAATTGAACACTTCCTCACACATTTCTGTTGATTGACCATTCAACATTGTCATCTCCCAATAGCTTTGCACCAAGATATTTGAGTATTTTAGCTGCTTACAAACTGTTTGATAGAATGTGTATTTAACTGGTTGTCTTGTTGTATCTCTTGCTTGAACATTCTGAAATCATTCAAACAGCTTTGGAATGGATTCTAAACTTCTTTTACTTTGCCTCTTGTTTCTTAATTTCAACTTATGCTTTCAACTTTTTTCTGTTGTTCCTCATTGAAATTTGAAAGGTTTGCATTTACGACATAATTTATTATTATTGTTATTATTTAGTTTAAAACAAATCAGAAAAAGTAATAACAAAACAAAATCAATTAAATTATTGATGTACATGTGTTTTTTTTTTTTTTTTTTTTTCCATTTACCTGCATTGAATACACTAGCTGAGCGAGATGGAGGCTCTTATTAAAAGGCTAAAGCTTTGAGTTTAAGTCTGAGAATACACTTATTTGATCTTTAGTCTTTTATTATAAGTGACCACGTGTCATTTATGAATGTCTTCATTGATTTCATTCAATTGCAGAATCAAAGCACTGGATAACAATGGCTATGATGGGCAAGGCTAAAGAAGCAGGGGTTCCATTGATGAAGCTGGTTAAGTTGAGAGGGATGCCTATTTTGCAGCAATTGCATTTAGAGGAACGGCTGCTTCGAACCAGTTCAGATAATTGGTGCCTTATTAATGATGGAACCAGTTCCCCTGCCATTGTAATGGGCTTATCTGGGTACTTCTTTATATCTTTAGAATGTTCTTCTGATTTAGTACCATAATCTGGTTTTACTAATATTCCTACACTACATTTCTTCTCTCAATTAATTTGCAATGAATATCTATGTTTAAAGTTGGTCGCTTATTTATACATTGAAAGTAGTCTAGATGGAGTATCAGTGTTGATTCCTGGCCTATAGCCTAATCTTTTTCTTGATTTTGTACCATATTGATGTCTATCTAAATAAGCTACTTAAATCACTAATGGGGTTTTTTAGTTTGTTGAGTCATTTTTTATTCCAGGGAATCTCCTAATGTTTGGCTTGGATAAAACACATTCAACAATACTTTTTGAATTTTTTAGGAGCAATTTTTATTGATAGATTTGGTTCAAACTGAAAATTCCTACTAATGTGAGCCATTTTCCCAAAATCATATTTTTTTCAATGATGGCATTTAGTGACAACATTGGTGGTCAATATGGAGGTGGCATGGGTAATTGGGCGGTAGCATTGGAGTTATGTGGCAGCTGCAGGAGGGTGATGGTAGTAGAGCATGAGAAGGTTCTAAAGGGGAGTGGGTGGATAGGGTAAGCAAGTGGGATGGGTAATGTGTTTTAACTAATAAAAACCATTTACACATTATGGGAATGTTACGTTCTTACCTCCTTCACGGTAACGTTTTTCATTGATTTTGTGGGAATGTTGCATTCCCCTCCCTGGGATGAAAAACGCTTCATAACAGTTCAATAAAAATTGCATCTACCAAATGAAAGTTAAATTCTAGGAGTGACTTGTTGATTTGCTTTATTTGCGTAATGCTTCCTTCAATCCTTTCTCTCGGTCTTTCAATAAGAATAGAAAAAGGACTTAATTTCAATGTGGAATATTTACATAGGAAACTTTCAGAACTTGTTGATGTCAAGTCTGTGTTGCGAGATCATATACCCATCATCAGAAGGTTCACTGGGGGAGGAACTGTTATTGTTGATCATGACACTATATTTGTTACCCTGATATGCAATAAAGATGCTGTTTCAAATGTGCAACCCTTTCCCCGCTCCATCATGTCGTGGAGTGGTCTATTATACAGTGAAGTTTTTGAAGGGCTTTCTGATTTCCATCTCCGTGAGAATGGTACATTGATTGAGTTCTATATCAATATGCTTTTCACAATGTTTCTAGGAACATTATCCTCTCAGTTTTCATATGTTCAGTACACAGAAAATTGATAGTGTGGAGATACTTTAGCAATTGCATATTTAAAGTTGATTCTGATTGGGTTCTTATTTCCTTTGTGCTCAAAGATTATGTGTTTGGCGATCACAAGTTTGGTGGTAATGCTCAATCTATAACCAAGCACCGGTGGATACACCACACATCTTTTTTATGGGATTATGAGGTCAAGAACATGTCTTATCTCAAGTTACCAGCAAAGGCTCCTAAGTATCGATTAGTAAGCTTATGCTTTTTCATCTTTCTTTTATCTGCAACGGAGTTGTTGATATGCCCTATGCTCCCTATCTTCTTCCAATTTGGTTGATATGCTGTTTGCCATGCATATTTATTTTTATTGGATTACAAGTTTGTCATATATACTTTTTAGATTCTGGTTTCATAATAAAAAACTTCGGGTTTTAAACTTGATCTAGACTAAACCAAAATTGTGGATGCGTTTTAAAAGTTAGAATCAACAAAAGGCAATATGGGGTGATGTAATCTTCTACTTGATGATACAGCATTGCCTTTTTTGTCAAAATCAAATAATATCACAATATGTAGCTTGTTTGTAACCTCTACCTTCCTTGTATATTTAAAGTTTGAATAAATCTCTCCTAGAAAAGGTGCCAAGTGCAAAGAGAGAGAGTTGAATGAATTTGAATGTAGACAAAAATGTTTCTTCACTGAGAATTGCAACCACTTGCTAATTATTTTGGCAACTGCTAATGGAATTGCCTAACTAAAACTGAATCACATGTAGGACCTCTCTAACAGAAACGATTCTATTTAATTATAAAAACTTAACTTTGTTTTGCTTCAATTGTTTAACAATCTATGTTCATATTTGATTGCTATGCTTCAATTGTTTAACAATCTATGTTCATATTTGATTGCTATGGTGTAGACAAGAAGTCACACAGATTTTGTTTGTCGAATGAAGGAGTATTTGCCAAGATCAGAATTTATAGAGAGAACTATTAAGGCGATTGGAACCCAATTTTCTGTGAAATCCATTAGCTTGGAGTCCATAGAAGTTCCCCATGTTTCTGAATACGTTCATACCACTAAGCTTCTCACAGGACAGGAAATTCAGGAAGCATGCACTATGGAAACTTGAAAAAGTAGTTACAGAGGGATTGAATTCATATCTATTTGGGAATTGAAGATATTGCTGTGGAGATTGCATTTTCAAGTTAAATGCTAATGAAATTTGATTGTAATGTTCTAACATTGTTTTCTAGTTAATTTTTCTTTAGGTAGAGTATTTATGATGAAATTCAACTGCTATGAGATTTGAAAAAGACCCATTTATTTTGTTAGTTCTGTTGGTGGGGAACTTGGAGTCTGTCATGTTCTTACTTTGAACCCTATCTACCCCATGTGAAATACGATTAGATAATAAAAAAATATCATTTATTTTCTTATGTTTTTTAAATTATATTTATTATAAAAAAATTATTTTTCAAAGTAGGGTAAAAATACGAGGAAGGGGTACAGAATTATGAACCATTTTATTTTATTATATATATATATATATTATATATATATAATACTATTTTATTGGATGATTTATTAACTTTTTTACATTATCATTATCCATCAACTCTATTAAATAATTTGACGGAAAATGTTAATGAGAGAAACTTATAATATTTTAAATGTGGCATATGGTTTTAATTTATTTCACGCAAATTGTTAACGACAAACTATCTTAACATATTTTTAATACATTATTTACTGTTAAATACAATTCATGTAAGCCTCATCAAATGAAGTAGGCCATATTTCTTATATAATGATATAAAAACTCTAACCAATAGTAATGAATATGTTATAATAAAAAAGTATATTGCTAACCTCTAAAAATAATTGTAATCTTATAATTTATTGGATATGTTTTCAAAGATTAAAAATATTATATATATATATATATATATATATATATATAATATTATATATACATATAAGTTTGTTCACTTTTTGTCCCACCTTTAAGCATTTTTGGAATTCAGCATATAGTGCTAACAAGTGAACTAATATGTAAAAATATAGGAAAGATGTTAATATTTATTAAATTATTAGTTAAAATTTATAAAATAACATGAGTTCTATTTTTATAATATGGTCTACGGACAAAGTTTAAGCAAAACATAGGTCACATATAAGAAGAATAAAATGGAGATATAATATGCAATCTATTGGAATTTAAGTAGCGTTGGGTTTGGCAGTGGGTTTTCTTCTTCCATGTTGAACAATTTGTAATTAATTACAATAGAGTCCTTCAATTTAAGCAACAAATGTATATCAAACAACGGGGATATTCATAGCTTTGCATGCTTCCTGAGCCTGTCTCCAGCATCTTTTGCATTATCAGGGACTCGCATGTTGCACAGTAAAGTAACCCTTGATGATGATATCAGGATTCTCTTTTTTGAGTTTGATGGATCAATCTTCCACAATTTCACTTCCCATACCTGGCCTCCACATAATTATTATATCATAACTATTATTGATCATATGTTTAGAGATATATTAATAACACAAATTTTCTAATACACTTTAACGGTGAGCTACAATTTATTAATATATATATATATATATATATATATATATATATATATAATTTTCCGTATTTTTATATATTTTAATGAAGTTTAATAAATAATTAAAAGTGTGTTATATAAAGAGTATTTTTAACACTCCTCATATATTTAATTAACATAAAGTGCTCATAACATGTGAATGATAATCTATGCCATTAATTTTTTACACCAAAATATACAAAGTTGTTTAATTTAGATTAAATTAATTTATTACTTCCTCAACTATTTAAAGTTTTTGTCAATAAGTTATAATAATTTAAAAAATTATGATCAAGTTCTTAAATTTATAATTTTTTATTAGATCTTAAAGTAGAATTTTGTCTAAGTTGCACAAAATATTCTTAATTCTTGTTAAATTATTTGACAGAACCTCACTTTCAAGACTCAATTGAAAATGATTTATAAATTAAAGGATTTAATTATAAGCTTTTAAAAGTATATAAAATTTACCTTTAATTTACTGAATATTTTCTCCCAGGATTAGAAGGTTGGTGAACACACACATCAAAATAAAAATGCTAACTAAACGTAAATTGAGGTGTTGGATACCAGTAATCCACAAAAATCAATATAATCCACAGTGAAAAACTATGGACAAATCTAATCAAATAGTTAAGATGACCATTAGTTCCATGTTATGATTCATTATAATAAATTGACCTTATCTTAAATAATATTCTTCCAACAAATCTTGCACCAAATTTTGTTTATATTTTCCTTTTTAGAAATTCCACCAACGTATTCTTACACATGTCTGAATTCTGCACACGCATTAGCATTATTTATTCTTTTACCCTTTACCTTGTTTTTGGACCACTTTACAACCACACACATTAAATAACGTGTGAACCATATTTAATCTATTGAAGGCAAAGCGGACAAAAGTAAATTATACAAAACTAACAAATTTAGTGTGAATTTATAAAATATTTTTTAATGTGATTGGATCTGTTCAGTAACTGATGACTGTAGATTGAAGATAAGGTTGAAAAATTGGAAATATAAGGTGAAAAAAGAAAGGGGTATTGGGAAATTACCTGAAGGGTTTTGCCAACATTTAGAGGGGTGGCTTCAGCATAGACCAAATCACCAAGCACAGCACTTTTCAAATGGTTGATGCTTAGCTGAATCCCTGCCACTCTTTGATAACCACAAGCTATGTGGGCTCCTATGCTTGCCAAAGACTCTGCCATCAATGCTGATACCCCACCATGTAGCACCTTGAATGGCTGCACCATGTACAACAAATAAAACCAACTTGTATAAACAATGAGAAAAGTGTAAGGGAAACCAAGTTAAAGCATACATAACAAGTGAGTTGTAACTAATAGTGTTTATATAAACGTACATTTATGAGTATGTAAAAGTGAATCCAAACAAGAAAAGAAAAGAAGTGGGTATGACCTGACAGCACTTGTGAGTAACTTTGAGATGGCCAGATACCCTTTGTGGTGACAAGTCTTGAATCTCAAAGCCAATGGAATGAAGGGGAACATCTATTTCAGCAGCCTTTGATGTTGGAGGGTGGTTTTCCATGTTGGAAAAGAATGGATGAGATGTGTCTGATTCTAATTAAGATGCACTTTTCACGAGCATTGAGGCAAATTCGCAAGCGATGGTTTCAGAGGTCTTTAGTTTTAGACAAGTGAAGATGAATGCACATATTTGCTTTGTTAGGTGGCTTGGTGGTTAGGTGGGATGAGTGCATACTGTAGTGTAGACGGTAAGGTTCAGAAGTCCAGTTTTGACTTTTTAAGATACGTGTTGAGTATAACTTTTTTTAAAAAAATAAATCCAACTTTTGTATTGTTACTTTATGGACTTTTATTTTTTTTTATTTTGAAATTATAAAAATATGATTTTTATAGGAACAGTAACTTTTAGTATTTTTAGAATATTTTATTATTATTTTAAAAATCTTTATAGATGAGTTTTATTTTTTTTAAAAATTATCATTGACAATTTTTTATATTTTATAATTTTTTTATTTTTAAATTTTTGTACCTATACCAAGAACTGTTAATAACGATATTCAAATATTATATTTTTATAATTTTTTTAAAATAATCATATTTTTACATATATTATTTTTAAATATTATATATAAAAAATTAATCTTTATTTAATCTTTATTAAATTTTTAAAGATTATTATTTTTATAAGATAATTTTTTAACTGAAATTCAAATTTGAAATTATAAAATATAATAAAACAATTTTTTATCATTTAATTACTTGTTCTGCCTTGCTTTATTTTTTTTATTTTGAAGAACTTTTAACAGTATTGTTTAATATTTTAAAGGTTAAAAATATATTTAGTTCTTATAATTAATATTTAAAAAATACATTTTAATATTTATTAAAGTATTTTTTATATTTTAATCTTTAATATTATAATAATGAATCTGAATATGATATGAAGGGATATTTTATAACATTAATATCTATCGTTAAAATGGAAATATTTTTTACATAACAAAATGGAATGATTTTAGAGCTGTTGAAGAAGTAAAACATATTCGTTACTGTGTTGATGTAAACAATTCTCCAAAGGAACTTCATCGTTTCCAGAATTATGACTCATGTCTTATGACCAAGTCAAGACATTAACAGGACTTCCTCCATGGTTCATAACTTGATAACAATGTATGAGGATGGGTAAAAATATATAGCTAAGTTGTATACACTTCATATACCATGTTTGCAACTGAAATCATTCCTTTCCACTTAAGGTCAATCTACTAAGTACCCCTAAGATGCACTATATCCCTACCCAAAGATAAAATTTACTTTTAATGAACAAAAATTATTAAAAATGTAATTTTCTAAATTTGATACATGAAATTTTATATATATATATATATATATATATATATATATATATATATATAATTTATATGTATGGGGATTAATTCATTCAAGAAGTAACCCATGTTAAAATTACTCCACTTAATAAATATTAATAAACATTAATTTTTTTCAATTCAATTAGTGAATAATGTGATGTTAATACATTAATTATTCATACCAAAGTTTGGATGGAAATTTCAAACAATAGAAGACATATAATTATATATTTAATATTTTTTTATATGTTAAAATATATATTATATGTTAAAATAAAATTATCTAATAAAGTGTTATTAATTTTTTATTTGTGTAAAAGTTTGCAAACTTAATCAATCAATAAGAATTCTTAATTTAATGACTTGCATTGATGAAATCATATTTATAGAGTTATTAAGTGAGATAATTTTAAAAAGAATTACAGGTAGTATTTAAATCTATCTTTCAAACCACAAACATCAACTATTTTATTGTTACCATGAAATTTATATATTGGCGCAGTTTATAATCAACTAAAATGGGATCCAATTCATAATATTGATAATATTGATACCAGAATGATAAGGGCATAATGATTGTTCCATAATTGAAGTCAGTCTCCTTTTTATTACACAATTGAAGCATCATCTTTCTCATTCATTCATTTATCAATAACTAAAATACAAGGGTACATTGTTTCCAACATTAATCTTTCTTGACACACCAAGATCCTCATTTGCTGAGGCATAGCATAAATTAAGCCAGCAGCAAATCATCTGCGAATGCTTGCTATATAAATCAAAATATTTATATATAAGAGGGGCTAAACTATCTTCTTTTTAGCCCACAACACTAGTCCATCTACAATACTTAACTATAGCTTTGTTCTTTTAAATGTAATTTTGAGACAATATTAATACACATTATTCAAAAGATACTAATTTAAGGTTTTGGTTAGTAGTTGAACTGCCTTCCAGTGTAGGTCTGCCCAAAGGACCAACTAGGTGGAGCAACATTGTACGAGACCAAACTGTGTCCATTACTTGTGGTCACTATAAATGAAAGACTCTGTCCATTAAGGTATGAGTTGCTCTGCCAGTTTTGCCCCCAATTCCTTGACATGGCTTGCCATCTAGTTCTTGAACCTTTGATGGCCACAGCATGCACATCACCAGCACCTCCAACATTAGTGACAAGGACTAAATTGAAGTAAGAATGGCCATTGATGGTGAACCTAATTCCACCTTTTCTCCTACATCTCACCCTTCGACAAAAACAAAGTGTCAGCTTTAAGTCCATAAGGGTAGTAAAATAGGTATACAACAACAATAACTAAGCATGTTTGGTTTCACATTACAATGAAGGTAGATCCACATTTACTTCAACTTACTAGTAGCAACTTCTGCGTTGGATACATGTAAGAGACTTTTTAACATGTTTCTAAATACACACACTGTCTTATTTTACTAAGTCAGGCTAGCTACATAGATCACACAATACCATTTAGTTCCCTAAAAAGTTAGTAAAATAGGTTTGGTAAAGAAAAATGAGAATGTGAAGTTAGTTACCTTCTGTAAACTACAGGTACAATCCCAGCCTTGTATTGAGCAATGTGCTGGAAAACAGGTTGAGAAAGATCAAAATGGTGTTGGGGAGGGTCACACCAACCACCAGGGGGGCAAAAGTTGGTGGCTGTGACTACAATGGAGCCAGGAAGGCACCACTGTGGGTCATTCACACACTTAATTTCAAAACATGCACCACAACTCAAGCCATTGTTGAACAATGCAGTGCTCAGTGCTGCTGTATCAGTTCCATAACCTTGGCTATACAAGTTTCCATAACCGCAAGCCCCACCTACAATTTGTGACATATAGAATGTTACTAAGCAAGTAATTAAAGAACCTAAAATAAACCTATGGCAAACACAATGTGAGTTACATTTGTGCTGGCATACCCATTGTCCCAGAGGCATCACTTCCACCATAGAAAGTAGCATGAGCATTAGTCCACCCCCCATAACCATACCCATTCACATGTGAGACCATGTAGAAAAATCCAACAAGCAATCCAAAAAGATCCATTTTCCTACATAAATGCAGCATTGGAGTATTAACAATTCAACAATGTGCAATAATTATGATTAGCTAGTTAGCTGCAGAACTAGTGCAGTTAATTAATACTCTATAAAGGGAAAGGAAACAGAAATAAAGAGAGTTAAAGAGAAGAGAATCAGTTAGAAGAAGGTGAACCTTGAAAGGTGTTGTTTGTGGAAATGGAGGGGTAAGTTGGAATGGAATAAATAGAGGTGAGTCAACATCAAACCTGACAGACAGAGAGACACATTTGAGCTGTTGGGACCATGCAAATGCTGAAAAATGTGAGAGAGAAAGGGATCTAGGAACTCTGTGTTGTGGATAACTACGCTTTTTTAACGGGAATATGAAGGCAGTTTCATACAATTCAAATGGAATTGGAGTCCAGTGTGAGGCTTTGAAATATATCCTTATACTTGTCGACATACTAACTAACAAATTTGCTGCAAGACAGAAGACAAAACTTGTATGCCTCTTCTGCAGTAAAACTAGTCCAAACAAGTCACCAACTGTAAGGGGAATAAATAATTGCCTTATTTCCAAAGCCCTTTTTTCTTTTACTTCAAATTTTCTTAGACAGTTTTCAAAATCTTTCTTCTGAAAAATGACACTTCTTTAAAAGAAATTCTCATGTTATCTGAGATTGAATACATAAATCTAATTAAAATATAACATCAGACGACCAATGAGTAGTTGGTTCGAGTGGCACATGTTTAATTCTCATTAAAAAAGGTCTCAAATTTGAAACTTGTATGAAAAAAAAAATCTCCGTTGAAAGAGTTTATGTCCTCCACGATACCTATGATCTAGACTAGAGCTCATAAAATGGACTTACTCAATTGAATCAGTCCTCCGATAAAATATAGGGTTTGAATCTGAGCTAAATTTGAGCTTTTTTAGTCCAATTTAATCAAACTTTATGCGAGTTAAACCTTAAAAAAGCTAAAAAAAATCAAATTTTGCCTGGCTTGGGCAGCATTTTCTGAGTCCAAATTATGCCCGATTTTTTTTTTTCTAGATTGGCTAAAATTTAATGCCTACTAGGGACTGATCCCAATGAGTCGAATAACCCGTTTTGTGAGTTCTAATCTAGACAAAAGAATACAACAGCTGACATAGAAACTGAATTTGTACTGTCAGAGATCAATTCTGTTATTCTATTGCAGAATTCCAGTCATTAAATGTATCCGTCAGTAACTAAGAGATTACATAAGAAAATCTCTCATAAATTACTCTTTATTGGACTAAAATCTTTGCATAACTAGATGCATGGTAATAAGTGTCACTCAAGAAGTCGTAGTAACGATTGAATACGACTGTTTATTCGATAACAACATAGATAACGTTATTGTGAATGGCATTTGCATTGGATGCGAGTAAGGCCCTTTGTCAAATTTTAAATTGCAATATGACAAAGTCACACTAACAGTCTTTCTCTATGCTGCTTCTCTCTTAAGTCACCAACACCAATGCAATGCATGGATTCTATCTTCGGTCCCTCATTTAGCTTCAATGATTTTTATTTTTCATTTTTTCTATCATGTGTAACACTGTATGTAAGTTTTTATTAAAAATTATAAAATTCAATGTTAAAGAATCAAAATGTGTAAATTTTCATTAAAATTGTTATTAATACTAACTTACCATGATTTCAAATGCATTTCCAATGTGATTTTTAATAAAAGTTTAAAAATTTTAAATTTTTTAACCACTGTCTCTTTTAGGAAATCAATTACCTAGACCCCTTCTTTTAACATCAAGCAAAGTGCAGTAAATAACTAACAGTAGAACTGTAAGCTTTGATTGCTTGTGTCCTTCGCAGAAAGCACGCTGGATCAGCAGTTGATATGGTACAATCAAAACAGATATTTATATCACCATAATCAATGTTAAAGATAATAAAATCCTATTGTACCTGTACCTCTGTGCAATGGCGTAATAGAATAGAAGAGGTTACTTAGCTAGAATCTGCAAAGACATGCATGTTTGGCTGGCAAGCATGAAAGGTTGCTTAGACATTAAATACAAACATGTGAAATTTATTCATATCTGCAGACACAAGTACCTATTTAATTATTATGTTGATGACGCACCACATAAACATTAATCCAACAAATAACCAGTGTTGTGAGTATAAATAGCTTGCTCAAGTTCCAGTCATGCATATAAATGTCATGTAATTAAGTCTCAAATGCATGGTTAGTGGTAACCCAATACAATGGTTATCTAACTTCGTCCCATTTTAGATGTATATGTATATGTGTAAGGTGCTAAATATCATAAGAAAATTTATGCTTGATCATTTTGATTCGTTGATTTCGTCGGCAGAGTTGAGTGCATTGTCTCAGATTTGAAGTGGGGTACCTGATACAATATGGCTAATTTTCACATGGGAGACAAACCCATCTAGCCCTACCACAGTCACAACTTTATAGGATCTTTTTGACGTTTCTCCTTCAAATTTTGGGAACACATGCTCTCTCAGAAAATTTGCACGTACTTCTTGGTGATAGTCCTTTCAATTTTGATAAATTTATTGGACTGTGGAAATCTCATTTTGCCATATTGTAAAACAAAAAATACTTAAGGCTAGTTTGGTTTGAAAAATAATGAACCATGTCAATTTAATGTTTCATTCTATTTTCCAAAATTTATACGAGAGATGGCAAAAGCAACACTTTGTTATTTCTTTTTATCGAATTTTATAAATCTTTAAAAATAATTTGACATTTTTATATTTATTATTAAAAACCATAAATGATATCTCTCCCCTTAGCAATTAGCAGGCTCAATGCATTAAAATTTGTACAATATTTGTGGTGTACAATATCAGTTTTAATAATTTAAATAAAAGACAATTACACTTTTATCTTTCACATCAAGACCTATAATAAGTTAGAATAAGTTGAGGCTCATAATTGTATGAAGAAGTTTGATTGCATCATAATTCATATCAATTGTCATTGCTAGAAAGACAATGTTTTTGTCCCCTTGGGAGTATATAGTAACGATCCAATAAATTCCCGTGAGTGCACTGTACTTGTTTGTAAATTTTCATGAGTACGGTGAGTTTCATTTGTAACCAAATATTAGCAAGGATTTTTATGGAAATCAAACATATATACATTGAAGATTAAATTACATCATTATAAATTTATATTTTATATAAAATTATTAATAATATAAAATGCATATAATTTTAATATACATAAATTATATATCAAATAAACTTAGATTAATTTAAAATTTTGTATATATATATTTTATATAATAAAATTTTAATTTTCTCAGAAACTTTAAGATAAAATCATTTAATAAAACTTATTAAAAATATAAAAATAAAAATAAATCAATTTATATTTATATAAATTATATAAGTTAATAATTTTATATAAAATTATTTTGCATCAATTTAATTATTAAATAATAACATTATATTACGTAATTTACGATCTAATAAAAAAGAGGACATCTTTTAAGACGACGCGGGCTAAGTGTCGGTTATATGTCATTAAGTGAAGAATCGAGCTTCCATTGACGCAGACACACGCAATTTTATATTAATACACCAAAAATATTTATGTTTGTGCTTTCATTATTCTCGTTTAAGCTTCTTCTTGACGTACCAATGATATTAGTTTTTTTTAAAGTCTAAATACATCCATTTATATATACAAAAATAAATATTTTATTTAAATATTATAATAAAAATATTTAAAAAGTAACAATCAATACATTTAAAAGTAAGTTTATATATTTCTTATTATTATATATATTGATTGTTAAACCTTTTATATTTTGTTTTAAATTCTAAAAGAAAAATGTTAAACTATATATATATATATATATATTCAATGCAGCCATTTATTTATTTTAGTATAAAATTGAATGAGCCATAGACAAAAATGGCAGGAGCCAGCATGATATGTTGGTGCAGGTTTATGGAGATGCGAGTATACGTAAGAGACAGAATGTGACAAAGCTTTAATAAAATATCCACACTTGTGCCATCCCAACTCAACCATACATCTTCTACACAGGTCATATTTAATTCAACTGATTTTGATTTATCTTTGAAAACCTTTCATCTTCATCAATAGCCATTGAGAGATCAAACACAATCTTGTCACACTGTAACGCACAAGTTCTTTCTAATCTTATTTCTTTTCATCCAAACTATATATATAATTTGTGAGAGATAGCACTACATGAACGTGTGTGTATATATAGAAAATTAAAGTTGACTTTATATATATTATTTTCAATATACAGAAATCTTGCAAGGCAGAGAATATGATTCTATCTTAATTCGAGAGGTTTTTGTCATTGGTCTTGCAACGAAAAACCATACTCAGAACTCAAAATGGACAATCTCACAAGAATTTTTGAATGACAGAAAAAAAAAATCATCATTTGTAGGCTTATCTACTGAAATTTTAAGCTTATGAAACATATAAAAGTTGTAATAGTGAAGCTTAAGTTTGAAATAACTAAACAGCAGTTGTTTTATCTTCGAGACGAAATTAATGTTAATGAATTGTTAAATTTCATTATAATTAAACATCTTTTAAAGTGTCTATCCAAAAAGCTTGATTGGGACCGCACATAATAGTATTTATAAGTTTTAATTCAAACGTGAACAATGTAATTAAGGGTTATGTTAACTAGTCTCTTAAGCATGTTAGTTAAAAATAAAGTAAAAAGTTATTGAAAATCATCGTAGGAATCCTTTGCAATTTAGGTAGAAGTGCAATTAATAATTTTTTTCTTTTTTTAATTATTTATCGAAAAGTATTATATTTATGTTATTAATATATTATATCGTTTCAATTAAATTTTATTATATGTAAGTTCTTTATCATGTATTCTTAAATATACTTTAGTAAATCAGATTAATATAAGTGAATATATTTATTAATTTAATATGTAAGTCACAAATTTAATTGTTTAACATTATATATTTTCCAGCGATTTACACAAGTAAAATC